CCAAACGGACCAATCGTGTCTCGCAAATCCCTCACATTTCGTCCAATGAAACTGCGTATGGTCCGGCGACACACAGACAGACAGACACACACACAGACAGACAGACAGATTTGCGATTTTATATATATAGACTAGCAGAAGTACCCGGCGTTGCCCGGGTGAAAAATATATTTCTTAATAACCTTACATATATACACAGATGGGCTGCTACCCCTGCCCCCCCCCCTCCCCCCAGCCACAATCTCCTCGGCCGCTGTGCAGTAATATGTACGGCCTATAGTGTGGTGGGGTGTCGAGGCCTAGTACCGTGCAGAGCCTCCGGCCTCGCCTAAATTGCCCACCTGGCTGAGGCTGGGTACCGGGGCCGTTACCCCCCCCCCCCCCCCCCCGCGCTACAATAATACTGTCTAATCGCTATAATTGTATTATCTACCGACCCTATAATAGTAATTGCACACATTGGGGTGGGGGGAGTGAAGAGGACGTGAAACTTTGATGAATTTACCTCAGAGTCGCGTGTTAATGCGTGCGCATATTTTTTACGGGAATTAAAAATGGCGTCCACCCCGCAGCGAATGCGTCGCTACCCGTTGCCAGGGGCAACCGCCGTGGAAAACCAAATGGACCAATCGTGTCTCGCAAATCCCTCACATTTCATCCAATGAAACTGCGTATGGTCCGGCGACACACAGACAGACAGACACACACACAGACAGACAGACAGATTTGCGATTTTATATATATAGACTAGCAGAAGTACCCGGCGTTGCCCGGGTGAAAAAAATATTTCTTAATAACCTTACATATATACACAGATGGGCTGCTACCCCTGCCCCCCCCCCCCCCCCAGCCACGATCTCCTCGGCCGCTGTGCAGTAATATGTACGGCCTATAGTGTGGTGGGGTGTCGAGGCCTAGTACCGTGCAGAGCCTCCGGCCTCGCCTAAATTGCCCACCTGGCTGAGGCTGGGTACCGGGGCCGTTACCCCCCCCCCCCGCGCTACAATAATACTGTCTAATCGCTATAATTGTATTATCTACCGACCCTATAATAGTAATTGCACACATTGGGGTGGGGGGGAGTGAAGAGGACGTGAAACTTTGATGAATTTACCTCAGAGTCGCGTGTTAATGCGTGCGCATATTTTTTACGGGAATTAAAAATGGCGTCCACCCCGCAGCGAATGCGTCGCTACCCGTTGCCAGGGGCAACCGCCGTGGAAAACCAAATGGACCAATCGTGTCTCGCAAATCCCTCACATTTCATCCAATGAAACTGCGTATGGTCTGGCGACACACAGACAGACAGACACACACACAGACAGACAGACAGATTTGCGATTTTATATATATAGACTAGCAGAAGTACCCGGCGTTGCCCGGGTGAAAAAAATATTTCTTAATAACCTTACATATATACACAGATGGGCTGCTACCCCTGCCCCCCCCCCCCCCCCCAGCCACGATCTCCTCGGCCGCTGTGCAGTAATATGTACGGCCTATAGTGTGGTGGGGTGTCGAGGCCTAGTACCGTGCAGAGCCTCCGGCCTCGTCTAGATTGCCCACCCGGCTGAGGCTGGGTACCGGGGCCGCTACCCCCCCCCCCCCGCGCTACAATAATACTGTCTAATCGCTATAATTTTATAATCTACCGACCCTATAATAGTAATTGCACACATTGTGGTGGGGGGGGAGTGAAGAGGACGTGAAACTTTGATGAATTTACCTCAGAGTCGCGTGTTAATGCGTGCGCATATTTTTAACGGGAATTAAAAATGGCGTCCACCCCGCAGCGAATGCGTCGCTACCCGTTGCCAGGGGCAACCGCCGTGGAAAACCAAATGGACCAATCGTGTCTCGCAAATCCCTCACATTTCATCCAATGAAACTGCGTATGGTCCGGCGACACACAGACAGACAGACACACACACAGACAGACAGACAGATTTGCGATTTTATATATATAGACTAGCAGAAGTACCCGGCATTGCCCGGGTGAAAAAAATATTTAATAACCTTACATATATACACAGATGGGCTGCTACCCCTGCCCCCCCCCCCCAGCCACGATCTCCTCGGCCGCTGTGCAGTAATATGTACGGCCTATAGTGTGGTGGGGTGTCGAGGCCTAGTACCGTGCAGAGCCTCCGGCCCCGCCTAGATTGCCCACCCGGCTGAGGCTGGGTACCGGGGCCGCTACCCCCCCCCCCCCCCCCGCGCTACAATAATACTGTCTAATCGCTATAATTTTATAATCTACCGACCCTATAATAGTAATTGCAGACATTGTGGTGGGGGGGGAGTGAAGAGGACGTGAAACTTTGATGAATTTACCTCAGAGTCGCGTGTTAATGCGTGCGTATATTTTTAACGGGAATTAAAAATGGCGTCCACCCCGCAGCGAATGCGTCGCTACCCGTTGCCAGGGGCAACCGCCGTGGAAAACCAAACGGGCCAATCGTGTCTCGCAAATCCCTCACATTTCGTCCAATGAAACTGCGTATGGTCCGGCGACACACACACACAGACAGACAGACAGATTTGCGATTTTATATATATAGATTATTTTATTATTCCCCTTCTACGTGACTTTACCGAAAGAACCAAGAATATGAATCCCTGCAGTCACGAAAGCTTTAAATCAAAATTTAAAACTAATAATGCTATTTATCATAAGCAAGTACATTATACTATACAAATATGCAATAAATCAATTCTACTACTGTCTACAAATATTACACATGCAGCGCAACATAAATGATTGACACTTTACTCAGACTTCACGTGGGCTTTCTGACAAATGTCCTCTTATATGAGCGCACAACTTTATCTATCTGTGATGAACACTGCACTTTCCATCCTTTTTATGCAGGGGGCACTGCAAACTTACGCACCCCCTGCATGAACGACGGAGGTGCAGGGATAGACGTTCGATTACGTTGGAATCAATCTACAGACGGCGGTCTTCTCGCACGGCCAGCTCTATGTTGTCTTATCTCGATCCCGCAATCCCAAACAGGTGAAAGTCCACATCAAATCGAACCATCCAGCAAGGACATCTACTTAACGACGAGAGAAAATTCACACAATGTCCTTTTCAATTAAGTCTTCCAGATGTAAAATGATATAAGCTTTTAATGAAGAAGTAAAATTATCTAATTCAAAACATAATACAATTCAAAGATGTTTCATTTTAAAACTTCAAAACAGAGCATCGGGTGCTTGCGTGAATGCATCGTTCGTGTGTGACTTTCCTGGCCAAAGGCCGTAAATGGTTGTGAGGGGCGTCGCAGGCACCCCCGAACAACCCCTAGTAACGTAATAGAGACATTAACGTTATTTGAACACACCCGTGAGCGCCATTGTTGCTCGCTGGGTAAATGTGTGGCTAATTAACTTTCCAAGTAACTTACTTAGCTATGATAGCTAACGTTAGTGATGGTTGATTGATTAGCAACCGCAAATCGGCCCGTTTTCACCAAAAAGTGTGTTTCCTCTCAACAGTGATATAGCAATGAAATGGAGAGACAGGACAGTGTTTGGCATTGATTGTACCTACCCACAGCAGTCGAGCAACGGCTTCTGCTGGGGTACGGCAACACAACTTGGACAAACCACCACACGCAGAACTGCAGTACACCATAATACTGTAATGCGAGCAAGAACAGGGTGGTTGCTGACCTCCGTGCCACTCACACGGCCCGGAGTATTGGGGGGGCGGAGCCTGGTCGACAGAGCGTGTGGGAGGAGCCACTGCTCGCCTTGGCTCCAATGGGAGACGGGGTGGAGACGGGAGCAGTACGGGAAGGAGGAGTCAGGGTCACGGGATGGGGAGGATATAAGGAGAGAGCCGGAAGAGATCGGGGAGTTGGAAGAGAGTGAAAATAGGGGGGAACCACGTGGTCGGGGACCTACGCGCACCGTCGGCCAGCGGTGTGCGTGGGGTAGCCGGAGCAGCGGTGTGGCTAGCAGGGTGTGTGGGGCACACGTAGCTAGTGAGTGGCTAGCAGAGTGTGCGGGGCACACGCAGCAGCAGTGTGGCTGGCGGCGTGTACGGGGGGCACACGGAGGAAGCGGAGCGGCCACGGTGTGGGCGAGGGCCACACGGAGCGTGCGCGGGGCGCACAGCAGAGGGTGCGCGGGTCCGGACGAGGACCAGCGGGGTGCGAGACAAGAACCAAAATAAAGGACAAGCGGAGACCAACATCGCATGACCGAGTCCTTTATTACAATACTATAATCAGTAGTTATGATTATGATTACATTTGCTAATGATTATTTCGGACGGCGGTGCGTGGTTGCCTGTCGTAGCATAACAATTTTTATTTATAAATATTTTTTATATCAATATATTGGGGGGGGGGCATTTTCAGCATATTTGAATATTCGGGGGGATGTGTCCCCCTCCCCCCCCAATATATATTATAATTACGGCCTTGCTTTCCACCCTCTCATTGATCCCGCTTAACTTTCATTGAGGACCTGGAGTAGAGTGGTGTTCTCTTCCGTTTGCTGTCCAATTTCACTAGTATATTGGGACAATTTCTAGATTTTGTCAAGTACGTTTTGTAACACCCATTGTGTCCCTCCAGGAGGGGTTCTAGGTTTCTTCTTGATTTGTAAAGACAGTAGAGAGGAGGCCTCAGACTTCTTACCTGCGACTCGTTTTGCCATTATACTTGTGAAGTAAGGGGGAGACAAGCCACGAACCGGGCTCTCCCCCTAGGAACATGAGTAAACAGAATTAAATCAATCAACAGACGAAAATCATCGAAAAATAGTATACTGAGTTGACATCAATGATGTCTGTTTGAGTGCTGCTCACTTAGTCATGACGTCACCGTAAGTCCTGAAGGTGAATTATTGATTGTCTTTAGGATGCGGTGTATTGCACGTTTCCGTAAACGTGTCGCTATTCCCAAAGCAAAAGTTGACACCGACATCCTGCCCCTCTGGGCTTCGTGATCCTACGTCTACATTTCCTCTTTGCACCTCCCCAGGTGCCCCTCATTCTCACTCCCTCACATAAACCACCCCGCCATGCGAGGCCTGAACCAAGCCCCAGAAGCTCCACCACGGAGCTACAGGACCCCGAGATGGACGACCTGCGACAACTCCTCTGGTGGCCAAGCCTGCCTGCCACGTCCTCCTTCGACTTTGAGTCGTCCACCAGCCCCGCGGCCACGAGCTACCGGCTGCTGGGTGGGACACGCAACTTCACGGTGGGTGACACGCTGCGCCTCGGCGTGCAGGCTCGAGACCACCACGGCAGGGACAAGCGGCACGGCGGAGACTACTTTCGCATTAAAGTCTACTCAGACAAGATCCGGGCGGGGGTATTCGGCTCGGTGCTGGACCACGACAACGGCTCGTACACGGCGAGCGTCGTGCTGCCGTGGTCCGGCGAGGCCCTCGTGGACATCAAGCTGGTTCACTCGAGCGAGGCCGTGCACATCATGAGCCGCCTGCGTGACTCGGTGCCCAACAAGATCTTCTTTACTGGCTACTTCGAGAAGGAAGGAGCGAGAGGCGAGGCCACCGAGTGCAACGCGGTGCCGCACTTAATGATAAAGTCCAGGATGTGCGAGTACAGGGACGCGGCTACGGGACACATGTGGTTCTGCAAGAAGCCCAGGACATTGCCCTGTGACACCCTGCGATTTCACTCGAACAGAGGACGCAGAAACATTCTCACAAAGCAGGAGGACCGGTTCTTCAGCAAGTAAGAGCCGACATCTCCCCCCTGCATAACAATTCTCACCTTCACGTGATGGTTGTAGAATCAAAATGACGATTACTGTTGGGTGACTTCAGAACAATAGTGGAGAATAGAATGACTTTGCATGGCTAATGAGCCCAACCCTGGGAACATAGTGTTTTTTACTAGTTTGAATATGCTGTGATGGGTTTCATCATTTACAGACAAGACTAATCTTACATTCACAGTAATTTTTTTTATTACATGTTACCTGCTGGTGTGGTTTCCCGTCTGTGGTCCATTCCTCACCCATTCTTGTGTGCATTGTTCTTGCGTGATGAAGTGAAGTCTCCAAGGTGACAATCAGCGGAGATCCAAGCCAGATCGAGGTGCAGCCATCCCTATCACCACAAAACCTCGGTGAGTGCTGAGCGCTGAGCACGTGTGTGGCCACACCTGTTCAGAGAGGCCAGAGTAGAAACAAACACATTCCTGCGGAGGGAGCTGGTAGGAACGTTGGGTTGCTCGGTCAATGGTCAGGGTCAACGGCGGCGTGGTTTATTCTGCAAATATGCCCGACTGTGAGGGCAGGCACAAGCCGGGGTGAGTAGGTTAAACGTTGAGTTTTATAAGGGCACCACGGGGTGACCAGCCCCTCCCCACCCAGCCCCACCCTCCCCACCCAGCCCCTCCCCACCCTCCCCACCCAGCCCCTCCCCACCCAGCCCCACCCTCCCCACCCAGCCCCTCCCCACCCTCCCCTCCCCACCCAGCCCCTCCCTCCCCACCCAGCCCCTCCCTGCACGACGGACGGACACAATAATCCCCTGTGGACTATGAGTTTAACTCGATCATAAATATTGAAAAAGAAAACAGACTGGATGTTAAAGTCAATGGTAGTATGATGATAAGATTGTAGCAGTTTTCGTAAGTTTGTCATATGTTTGTCTACGATAGGATTTATATTGCTTTTGCGTGCGTGTCCGTCCTAGAAAATGTCCTTGGACCATGTGTGCCGGGCCACCTCGTGCCCTCCCCAAGCGGCTTCTACCTCAACGATGAGTGGGTGTCGCTGTCCTGCAAGACTCGGCCCTTCCCAGCCCCTCAAGACCTGGCCAATTGCCTGAGCAACAAGAGGTTCTACATGTACGGGGACTCCACCATTCGCCAGTGGTTCCTGCACCTCACCGCTCATGTGCCAGGTAGGTGGAACTCACCATCTATTGCTCCACTGGCTCAGAGTGCTTTATATGATCTATATCAACAGTGGCCTTCAATACCCCTTCTCCACTGGCGCACCCAAGCCCAGCCAGTACAGCGCCCTCTCGGTACGAGCCAAACCAAAACATTGATGTTCTGGCGTCACATGGCACGCAAATCCAGCTTTTGGCTAAGCAAATCTAGCTGGTGTGAGCTTACCTGTGATGAATCACACGTATAATTGTACACTCTGCTGCGTGTTGCTGTAATTGATTTGGAGAGCCTTGTGCGCTTTTTTATATTATAAATGAAGGCAATGATGAACAGAGATAAGGCACCAAGCCTCACGTGCACAGCAGGCCACGCCTAGCAGGGCACGCCCCCAATTTAGATTTGGAATGGACTCTGTGCTGAGTGACTGAGCTGAGATATTGTGTGACGTGGAGAGTGATGGGGGAGTGTCTGGTCATTATTTAGGCACCCAAACGTTCCTCGGAAGAACACTTTGAAATAAATCTTTACCGTTTCACAAACCCCTGGTGCTCGGCTGTTGTGGAGTGACCCACTTCTCTGAAAGACAGAACACAACGCAGAGTATCTACTCATCGTCTCCGAACCTTATTTTGTTTCTATGTAGCCCACCTGTCCTCCTCGTCACGATTCACGGGAGGAGAGGGACAGGGCGGGACATTTGCACAAGGCCAGCGGAAAAGATGAATGGGAGACAAGACAGGGGTCCACTCTGAGGTCAAATGCCAAATGCTCATTCATGAAATTGTCAAAACATTTCAATCTAGCAGGAACCTCCTTATAAGCTATTGATACTCCATGACGTTTTCTTGTATCTCTCTTCCCATGCAGCCCCTTTGTGGAGGCTACTGGTGTCACAAACTTCTGGCAAGTGTAGCAGTCCCGCACTCTTGGCGATCGTCATATCCCATCAGTCGCTGATGTTGCATTTTTATTGCATTCTTCTAATGCAATGGCATTGTCACTCAACTCTAAGTTAGTACGAGCGAGGGAAAAGAACACTCGTCTGCGTTGGCTTGGTTTACAGACCTACCCAGCCTCCCTACTTTTCTCACGCGGCTTCCACATGGACCCACCCTGGACACACATAACAATATCCAAATGTTAAATACTGCTGTTATACAGTCCGCACATATGGCATGTGTCTCGGCCTCCCAATATTAAATACTGCATTTAAACGGTCACACACGCGACATGCAATGCCCCAGCAATTAACACACACACCAACTACCTACACGTTGTGGATGCCCGTAGCCTCGCTTCAGCTAGGCTAATACCGCTAACAAAGCCGTATTATGAGCAGACACCAATGGTATAGCACTGATCAGGTGCCACACACATGGGTATTCCAGCACGAAACCCTTACCTGAAGCCAGGCAGCTTGGACGAGAGTACTGGGCTTCCTGGTTGCCGTGTTAGCCCACAAGCTTGTTATGGTCAAACATGACTATTACCACACTGACGTTGCATTAAAGAGTATGGCAATGAAGTCACCATGACATCAGTGGAGTACTATAATGACACACCTGATTTTTTTTTTTAAATGATTATGGATAACATGAGTCAACACATTCCTGCAGAGGGAGCTGGTAGGAACGTTGGGTTGCTCGGTCAATGGCCAGGGTCAACGGCGGCATGGTGTATTCCGCAAATATGCCCGACTGTGAGGGTGGGCACAAGCCGGCGTGAGTAGGTTAAACGTTGAGTTTTATAAGGGCACCACGGGGTGACCAGCCCCTCCCCACCCAGCCCCACCCCTCCCATCCCCCACCCAGCCCCTCCCCACCCAGCCCCTCCCCACCCAGCCCCTCTCCACCCTCCCCACCCAGCCCCTCCCCACCCTCCCCTCCCCACCCAGCCCCACCCTCCCCACCCAGCCCCTCCCCACCCTCCCCTCCCCACCCAGCCCCTCCCTCCCCACCCAGCCCCTCCCTGCACGACGGACGGACACAATAATCCTCTGTGAGCTGGTGTAACCAGGAGGTTCCTACCAGTATGAACTCCATTCATCTTCAAACTGCAGCCTTGCCAAATGCTAATTCCAAATCTATCCGGGTTTCAGGAACAGAAGTTGTACAGGTTACTCCATGATGAAATGCACAACGTGTTCCTTCGATACTGCTCCTTTTATACTTCTACTTCGTAATTTGTTCATTACAATTTGTAACTAACATTATTAATGCCCCTTTAGGCTCTAGAATTGAATCCACTTTAAAAACTGCTACGGTCAAACCTTTGTTAGAAACACAGAATATGGACCCTGACCTGCCATGTAGTTATAGGCCCCTTTCTAATATCCTTTTCCAGAAACAGTATTGTGGTCTTTCAGTGAAACAAACGTCCAGAGATGAGTGCGATCACTTAACCTCCCCAATGAGGCATCAGATCACTGTACAACACGATTTTTCATGATTTATTCATGGCTGATGAATTTGGTTGATTATCTATTTTACTTTTGATACTGTTAACCATGACGTTCTTTGAGATGGCCTGACGAACCATGGATATATTTCAGGCACTGTTATTAGCTGGTTTAGATATTTCTTATCCAATAAAAAGCAGTTTGTATCGATAGGTGATTTTATATCTGCCCCTGCGTGGTGTCCTCGAGTGTCCATCAGATTCTGTTTCTAATGTACAAGGCCCGGTTTGGTTTGGCTCCATCGTACCCAAGAGATCTGCTTTCCTGTTATGCACTCGCACGGAACCTTCATTCATTACTCTTTTGGTGGCTTTTTGGTGGTCCCTAAAACAAAACTTCTCTGCATGGGTGACAGAGCATTTTTCCTCCACTCCACGACAGTGGAATGATTTATCTCAGGCTATCATAGACTCGCATACCCTTGGTATTTTTTCATATCATCTCAAACTACTTTTTATTCACTGGCCTTTGATTATTGTATTGTCTTGTGAAAGTAGTGATACTGTGTGGTGTTCTATTGTTTGTAATTGTACATGTTTTCTGTGAACGGCGCTGTGTAAAATAAATGTTATGACACGCCTGCCCTTCTCAGACATGAGGTTCATCGACATCAACGCGCCTACGCTGCTGGGCCCACTCATGTCGGCGAGCGTGGCCACCAAGACGTTCCTGCTGTACCGCACGCAGGGTCTCCCCTTCCTCACGCCGCACGGGCCCGTGGCCGCCATCCACTACGTGGCCAACGAGATCGACGGCCTCACCGGTCAGGAGGCCCCTCTCCTCACTCTCCCACAACTAGACGTGGCATTTTATGCCCCTTTTCCACCGCACATCTGAGCAGATCCAGCCAGTAAACTATCATGCCTCCACCGTTGTCACTGTAGAAGTTCTACCCGTGTGAGTCTGTCTTCCTGTGCGAATGAGTACTGGCTCTTACAACGGCCAATAGAAAAGCTGAACAGTTTATAATGAGCGAATATATTAGTACATTACCCCGCAGCAACATGTTCTTTTAAATGTAAAAATGTATTGAGGTCATATCGTTTACATTTGCATGTGGTTGTGCTATAAACTCGAGCAGAGCTGAAAACCCAAACTGCAAAGCGGCTGTCATTACTTAACCGTACGAGATGGGCAATACCACCGTGACCTGTGCTACCGAGGCAGTGATATTTTAACGTAGTGTCCGACCAGCTGTAAATTCCAGAGATTTGGAAAACGAAGTTTTTTAGGCTCATCAGCCAACCTCACACTTCAATTAAAAGTGCAACAACAGCCACTCCACTAAGAACACAAGCACTTGGGAAAATCCCTTCTGTCTGCCTTGCTGTGTGTATGTCCGCATTCTCACATCCTCGTGTCCACGTCTGTGTCCCACAACCCAGGCGGGAAGGACACGGTGGTGGGGATCAGCTTGTGGGCTCACTTCACGGGCTTCCCCGTGTCTTTCTACGTCGCTCGCATGCGCGGCATTCGCGCCGCGGTCGTCCGCCTGCTGAGGCGAGCCCCCGGCACGCTGGTCGTCTTCAAGTCGGCCAACACCAGCTACCACTCGCCCGACCAGTCCGATTGGCTCAACCGTCAGCTCGACCAGATCATGCGCCGTCTCATGGCGGGGTTGCCCGTCGTTATTTTGGACGCCTGGGAAATGACGGCGGCCCACCGTCTCCCGGACAACTTGCACCCCGAGCCCGTCATCATCCACAACGAGATCAAGCTGCTCCTGGCCTACGTGTGTCCCCAGTAGAAGAAAACCGGCACATATCAAGGGTCGGTATACAGGTAATGCCTCTTCTTGTATTTCTTATTGCATATTCTCAAAGATTGTGAACCTTTCATTAGAAATTCACATATCATTGCTGAATATCTGGATATCTTTCCACACAGTCCCCATTAGGGTTGGCAGTGCTCAGGCTTTTCTGGTTTTCACAGAGCTTCTGATGTTCTTTCAAGCAACCTTTTATCTTCACACAGAGCTGAGGGCACATTTAAGATCTGTCGCTTGACAGTCAAACTGATATATAAGAGGTGGTAGTTAGCCAAAGTGCTGAAGGATACGTAATATATTATTTGGGTCTTTCGGTAAAGCCACATAGATAGAAAAAATAATCAAAATAATAACAATATCACAACATTTCAATCGCAACACAAGCAATCGTCTTCAGGTGAAGAAAGAGGGGGAAATCTGCCGAGGTAGGCTGTATATAATAGTTTAGAGATGGGCGGGGCAGATAATGTTAGTGTAGGAGAGGTCTCCGTAACCTGCAGTAGGTGTACACCAATCAAAGAGGTGTTTACAAATGGTTTAGAGATGGGCGGGGCAGCTAATGCCAATGTGGGAGAGGTACTACAGAGCTGTGGGGGGTGGCCATTGTATTTTATATATTATATAGATATTAGCATGTCTACGTAAGAAATTTGAAGCTCGGCGAGAGCTCAGACAGCGCAGTGGCCACATGGAGGTGGAAATAAATGGCAAGCCGCCATTTACTAACACAGCTAACGGTGGCTGTGTTATTGATTCGGTTTGTGTTTCTGTGCCAAAGGCGACTATTGTAGCAATTTCCAGCTGGGTTTGCATTTCGAGAGACGAGCTACTTAGGAAGAAAAGGGGCTTGTTTCCTTCTGGGAAAGGTTATATGCAAGTTGCAGAGAGTGTTGATAAGAAAGTGGTCTGTTGAACACTCAGGACCACGCAAAGCTCAAGTGTTCAGTATGTCTTTCAAGTCCGGGTTATGGTGTAGGAAAAATGTGGCAATGCTTGGATCTGGGGTACATCCATGTAAAATTGTGCTTATCCAGTTGGTAGAAATATGTTTGTGATTGACAGTTCGTGATGCCCGCAAAAGTAAAACAGCAGCTCAATATTTGCATTGCTGTTACATTTGTAGTGCCTGAGATACGCGTCACACGCTGAAGTCGGTGTGCACGCACGCGGCGTACAGTGGGAGCAAATAAGGACACGGGGCGCTGATTGGCTGGTCGTTGTTGTTGTCCCAAAGGAGGTGACGTGATGTCTGAAGATGGTAGGTGGCAGGGAGTAATTAAGGACGCAGGGCGCTAATTGGCCGAGAGGGTGTTGTTGTCGCGAAGTGGCGCCGCATTGTCGGGAAAAACATACCAGGTACCAGCGGGGGCTGGGGGCGAGTGGCGTCGTGGGGGTGCCCTTGATTAATTGGGGATTAATTGGTTCGGGGATAAAGACAGGGTTTTTTGGAGAAGACGGGAGTTCGCGCCTGGGAGGAGACAGAGGATGGAAGAGTCGGAGCAGCAGAGCTAGTAACAGTATAGGGTAGCCGTGGAGAAGCATTGGGTAGCAGTGGAGAAGTGTAGGGTAGCAGTGGAGAAGCGTAGGGTAGCAGTGGAGAAGTGTAGGGTAGCAGTGAGACGACGAAGCCAGTAGGAGGCGGCTGGAGTGTGGGAAGAGAAGCTGATGTAGTTACGACAGAGTGGGACGGCGGAGCTGATAAAGAGCAGCCGAAATGTGGCGGAGAGAGGGGAGAGGAGAGTCGACGGAAGGAGGAGTGATGGGGAACGAGCGAGGCCGGCGGAACGCGGCGAGCGAGTGGAGAGTGCGGAGGAGAACTGTGGATCGGTGTTAGCGGGAGGAACGTTGAGCGATGTTGGATGGAGGAGTGTTGATCGAAATACGCGAAATAAAGTAAAGAGGAAAGACAAGAAGCTGTCGTGTCGGTTCGAGCACTACACATTTACCGACTGTGCCAAGAATGGTTTTGGAAGTTGCTGCCAACTCGCGCATTAAAGTCGACAAGTATAAGCAGCATGTCCAATTGTGGGATACAGAGTCCATGACACAATTTAGCATGGAGCAGAACTCTTATTTGCGCTCATCTGAGTGTGTCATTGGTGACGCGTGCACTTATCAGTGTTAAATAGCGCTCCTTAGTTAGAGGGAAACAGATAGTCACGAGTCTCTCAGAGTGAATTTTAGGTAGTGAGATGAGTTTATCCGCTATGTCGCCTTTTATGGCAAAAGCCACACCAACATCTCTCCTTTCCCCACGTGTCTTCTGACTCCAAATAAAAATGCGTCTTCTCCCTAATGTGTCCCTGTCCCTCCAGTCTTGCCTCTTGAAAGGCTGTGATATCAATACGATGACGAGCTAGTTCATAGAAGCAACCCTGTTAAGTAGTGTCCGGACATTCCAAGTAGCAATCGTCATCTTTACTAGTCTGCATTTCTTATCACACGTTTGAAGGCTAGTTGGCTGCGGCTTGCCAACCAGCTTTTGAAATGAGTGAGCTTTCTTTACCCAACATTTTCTTGGGGCTCCCCTCTTGAGGACAGGCATGCTCTCCACAAATAGGGCTGCCCGGATTCCCAGACTGCTGCTTCAAACTGTTGTCATTCACACTGAGACCTCCTTTACCAGTGGCAAAATATAGTAGTAGGTTTTTACCCTTTCAACTGGTACAAAAACGGACACCTTTATACAAGGCATCATGGTTGCAATAACCACAACACAAGCAGTCAAAATGCAAACAAAAAGAAAACAACTCTGATGATGATAATGATATGCGCTGTCCTTGAAGTTGATTGGTCCGCACCCGAGACAGCTTTTCTTAGAGCCTAGTCTCCATTGGTGTTGGACCAGATGACGCCAATAGGCATACAACTCAAAGACAGCGCACTATCAGAATATTGAGAGCTCGGGGTAAGAATTTACACTATGAGACCTCCTTTACCAGTGGCAAAATATAGTAGTAGGTTTTTACCCTTTCAACTGTTGTGGTTATTGCAAACATGATGCCTTGTATAAAGGTGTCAGTTTTTGTACCAGTTGAAAGGGTAAAAAACTACTACTATGTTGTCATTCATTTAAGGAGTCTGAGCTGCCTGTGTGCAGAGCTTTTGTTAACAGTTCCCAGGTCCTCAAGCCTGCCGCTACCATGTCCACTCCATCGCCACATGACTATCTCTGCTCTCCACGCCTTTCACGGTGGTTAAGAGAAGCTGCTGTTGCTGCCACCAGCTGCCCTCTCTCTGGTCTCATATCTTCTGGTCTCGTGGTACACACAGAGTATAACGACTGAGCGATCCATGAGTTGTCCCGCAGTAGGCACTAACTGTCCTTTGCGCTGCCATCCGTTGACTCCATTGGTGGTGTTCTTCCGCATGCCAACCAGATGCAATGCCTTGGACCTATAAGGTTCATCTGCCAGAATCATCAACCATCGCCCTGCTGGTGACGCCAACACCTTCGCCGTGACCCTGGCAGGGGGGCAAAGTGGGTGCTGGGACTTGCCCAAAGGCCGCCTGGGAGCTAACGGAAGAAATGGGTGCCCTAAAGTCCCATTCGTAAGTCATGGCCTACGCCGATGCCCACAGTAATGCAAACAAAGGTCCCCCTTATAGCCTCAACAGACTGTTGGGGCAAGTGCTGTTAGCGAGCACCTAGAAAGGCCGGCACGGCACACCAGGGGGTGGGTGGCCAACACCACGTCCGGCCACCTTTGTCTCCCGAGTGGCGATGTTTTTCCGCACCGCACCAGGTACTCATTTGAGGCCGAGTACACCTAGGGAAGGCTCCGGTACCGGTTCAGATTATCGTCACTGATGTTGGCCGTCAGCGGGAACCGGGCCCGGGTCGCGAGGTTCATAGCGCAGTGCGCTAACCGCTACACTACCGTAATGCACAAACAGCAGTACCACACTGACAACAACGCACATTGTTTGAGAATGTTTCGGGGTGTGTTGTGTGTGATGGATGAGGTGACAGTGAGTTTGATGGGTTGCTTGACAATGGGGTAAAACACGGAGCAGAATTTAGCGGGTGGGAGGTGAGCAGCGGTCCACTCCGCCGCTTGCAGACAACCGAGTAGAAGCACAAACACCTGCCGCCATGGGAGGACCTCTCTTGAGCAGGAGTCACTGCACGGGATCTTCATCGAGCGAACTCCCAGAGCAGAGGCAGCCGAGCAGCTGGGGTTGTCGGCCCACCCGAAGATGGAAGAGGAGGCGCTCGCACGCAGTGCCGGAGACGCGCAGCGCGGAACTCTGTTCTGGGCTTTACGGAGTGACCCGCTGGTAGAAATCGGCTTCCTGGAACAGGCGGCACGGAGCACCGCTCTGCGTCGACAAATACCATGCCAAGGGGGTGACGGTGATGCCAAGGGACTCTGCGCAAAGATCACACAGTGCACTACAACACACTGCACCACACCCACACTAACACTAAATTGCACCACAACGTCCAACTATACACTACTGCAGTATACAATACTCTTAATTATATTGCACATACAACGAACATGCACACAAACACACAAGAAAAAAGATAGACACACATAAATAAAAACACACAAAATGCGTACGTTCAATAACTAACAAACAAAAAACGGATGACAAAAACGAGTTGAAAACTGAGAAATTTGAAAAGACTGTATATTAAGGAAAACGTTAAAAACGAATAATTATTTAAATATACAAAAAAACTTTGTGTGAAGGATAAGTTAAACGACGAAGACATTTACACAAACCCACGCATACATTCACACTTTAACTGAAACATGAGATGGAATGTATTAATTTATAACAAATGTATAATATTGTATTAAAGAACTTAGCTTTGAGGCGGATCTTGACACTGCTGGCACCAGTCTTCGGTAAATCCACGCAGCTGTGTTGTTGTTAGACTCACCTGCACACTCACTCACCTGTACACTCACATGTACACCCATTCACTTGTACACACATTTGCCTGTACACTTACCTGTACATTTACTGACCAGTATACTCACCTGTACACTCACTCACCAATATACTCACCTGTACACTTACCTGTACACTTACCTGTACACTAACCTGTACACTTACCTGTACTTACCTTCACTCCGACACACCTTTAAGAACCGCCTCACTCACGGCAGAGTCCCTTTAAGAACCCCGTACAGGAACGTTACGCCATTGGAGCCGGTCAGACCAGGTAATATAAAATAACTACGATAAAATTTAAATCCATATGTAAACTAGGATTACCTAAAAATACATTTCTGAACTTAATCCAGCACAGTCTCTTAAATAACCAATTGTTAAAATATTTGCTCGTGACTTAAATCGTAAGACCAAAACACACCGATGTGGACGTTCCTTCCCATAGCGCCTACATAATAAAATAAACTCTTTTGAAATCCTTTATATTAAGTTCGCTTGCTTGCTTAAGACCGTGTAAATCTTTCGGTCGTTTTTTAACCCACTTCCCGTGATCCAATCGAGCTGACATTTTGCACACAGACTCGTTGTGCGTGACAATTAATGTTCGTGAATTTTTTTTCAGAAATTTTACACTTTTTAGGACAAAAATATTATATTTAACTACCAATTGCTTAATGGTGGCATGCAATCATCTGACCCATAGGTGGCAGCCATCTCAAGCCAGAGGACGAGATAACTCTAGCCGCCACGCATATAAAGGATTTATAGTGAAAAACTTTGTTTTTACGGGTTATACTTGTTACTTTTCATTCACTTTATTTACTACTTCCTTTCTTATGCTATCCGTTGCAATTTACTTTGCTCTCAGTCGGTGTTAGCGGCGGAGGGCGTGACGGCTTTGTTTTTTCAATCCTATTGCTGTTTGCAATTGGGTGATATTGGCACATGAAATAAAGATTGATTGGTGCCTGGGGGCGCACCTCCAAGGCCACAGGTCTGGGAGGCCGGTAGCCAGCCATGCAGGGCAATGCACAGGTCGTTCATGACGGTGTTGGGACAAGCCATGGCGGGAGGAAGCGCGTGGTAGCCTAAAAATAGTTTCATAGCCACTCAGCCAGACAGCCGCAAAAGCACATCTGAAAGCACGGCGGTCGCAGACTGCAGGACTCAGTTTTCTACTGATCTAAAGAGCCTTGGCACCATATTCGACGCAGAATATTTGGTTTGATCACCACGTGCAGAATTTCGTCAGGTCCTGCGATTTTAATATCAGGGCTCTGCGACACATTCGCCCACTATTGGAGTCGTGACGTAGCCTACGCACGGTGGCTCACTACTTGCTACTCTACGGGACGTCTGGCAAAAACATTAGCAAACTACAGTGTGGACAAAATTCATTGGCACGTGTCATGACGGGTACTGGAAGATCCGACAATGTCCGTCTGGTGCTCGCTGAGCTGCATTGGCTTTCGGTTGCTGAACGAATAAATTAGGTCACACTCATAAACACGCAAAGTGTGTAATCGTGTACTTGCAGGTGCCCTTCTGCAGCCGTCTGGAACACTTCCTTGCGATATTAGGGAGCCATTGGAGCTATATACTTTTAAATCTAGATTGCACTCGTTTCTTCAAAACTGATTTTTATATTTATATTTTTGACCTTCCCCCGCAACTCCGATGAGCACGGTTGGCTACGTACGGTGCAACAACACGTTCCTTCGGAGTGGGCAGGTAGGAACTTGGTTGGACAGCGCATTCGTGCACGACAGACAAATAATTCCTGGTGGGCAGTGTGGAACCTGTTCCTACCTGTACAAGTTTAACATACATACGCACAACTAACAAAACCTGGGACTGAGGAATATCGCCTGTTCTTGGAACTTGTAGGACCAGAGTCAATATTCAACTGGTTGGCAGTGTGGGTGCGACACGACAGCTTGAAGAGCCTACAAAGAGTTGGTGCCAGTTCTGGAGCACCTGCAATAAGCACAATACATGGGACGTCCATCAGACCCACAAGCCCGTGCGGTATTAGGAATGGGTAATGCTCAACGTACACCACGTCGTGCAAGTCTCAAATCGGTTTCATCAGACCGGTCTAAATATTTGATGTGGTCATAATGCCCTAAGATTAGTTGAGCTCCAATGACCCACGCTCCGTTTCGCCTGCGCCGTTCGCTTCCCGACTTTGTTGTCGGCCGTTGCTAGTTTACACATCAGCTCACTGGATTAAATATTACCTTTTCAGAGGATCCACGTACCGCATCGTTTCCACATTAATGCTTTATCCGATTACCGAATGGACGTAAGGGTCAGCCACAGGTTCGCCTATGTTCGTTTACATCCTGGATCTGGGTGACTGTCCCGACTCGAGGAGTCACCGCAGATTGTTAATATCTGGCTCAGACACCGAGCCCGGCACCACAGAGACTTGCGTTCAAATCCAGGCAGGTGCCTGTGATTAAACAGCCTTCTCAAGTGTACAGTCCATAGTCTCAGCCTGGTTCATTACACGCAGAATCAGGCTTGTTCGAACAAATTCTGAACTGCCAGAAATGTATAGGCAAAGACCCAATCTGTGACATATGGGTCCTAGTTCGACGGGAAAACATTCTTTAAAAAAGTAGCCGTTTACAGTGTTGAAATTAACTTAAATGAAGCAATGGACCCAGTTATAATACACCCGCAAATCGCAATCAACAGATATTGGTGGCTATGTACGTGGCCTGTTACTTGTAGGAACCTCCTGGTTACACCAGCCCACAGGGGATTATTGTGTCCGTCGTGCAGGGAGGGGCTGGGTGAGGGGCACCACGGGGTGCTGGTCACCCCGTGGTGCCTTTATAAAACTCAACGTTTAACCTACTCACGCCGGCTTGTGCCCACCCTCACAGTCGAGCATATTTGCAGAATACACCATGCCGCCGTTGACCCTAACCATTGACCGAGCAACACAACGTTCCTACCAGCTCCCTCCGCAGGAATGTTATCCAGCACCGCAGAAACAGCGAGGGTTGGTGGATTGCACACATTTTCCGCCCTTTCCATAGGAATCAAAGAGCCATACACCCTGGCTCGCCAGAAAGCGGGAGAGGAAGTTGAAGTCTCCATTTGTTCTACCTGCATGGGAATGAACGTTGCCCCTCCTCGCGCGCATGGGTTTCCACCCACGTACATAAAAACATTAATTGGCCAGTAACGCCTTCATATAAAGTGGACCACAGAGCTTGGGAAGAAATTTGGTGCCAGCTCACGACCCGACCGCTGCCTTCCTGCTCGTCTGTGGTTCCTTCTCGCACCTCAGAGTCGGTCTCTCGTCGAGAACGAGCAGACACTGCGTGACGGCCAGAGGTTTAGAAGCCGAGATTAACACATTCCTGCGGAGGGAGCTGGTAGGAACGTTGGGTTGCTCGGTCAATGGCCAGGGTCAACGGTGGCGTGGTGTATTCCGCAAATATGGCCGACTGTGAGGGCGGGCACAAGCCGGCGTGAGTAGGTTAAACGTTGAGATTTATAAGGGCACCACGGGGTGACCAGCCCCTCCCCACCCAGCCCCACCCCACCTTCCCCACCCAGCCCCTCCCCACACTCCCCTCCCCACCCTCTCCTCTCCACCCAGCCCCTCCCCACCCTCTCCTCTCCACCCAGCCCCTCCCCACCCTCTCCTCTCCACCCAGCCCCACCCTCCCCTCTCCACCCAGCCCCACCCCTCCCATTTTTGGATGCACGACGGACAGACACAATAATCCGTGGGCTGGTGTAACCAGGAGGTTCCTACCAGTATGAATACAAACTGACAAACGCCAGCAGCAGCGAGGAAGATGGCGTGAGAAGCGTCGACTCGTGAAGACTCAAGGGCTCGGAACGTCGCGTAGCAAATTTTATTGAAGGTGAAGTTTATTGACAGTCCCAGGGCGAGTTAATCCAGCCCGCATTTCGAATTCAAGTCGCAGGTCTTAAAGTAGTCAAAAACATCCCGTGGAATCTGACACGGTGTTAAGTCGATGGAATTCAGAGCCACCAAACGCTCTCCATCATTAAATCTTGATGCGAGGAGGCACGCAATCCTTCCCCCCCCCGCTATCCACACACACAACCAATCACCACGTTTAGTCTTCCTCAGTGCAGGTTCTAGTGACGTTACGAACGAATCGGAGGCAGCGCCTTTCAGACGCGCCAATTTAATCTCGTCAGGCAGGCAGTCGCGCCACGGTCTCCGGATGGCAGCAGGCGGAGAGCTGTCGTCGCGCTTGAGGATGTCCGTCTGCGCGGCGTCGGACTAAAGTAAACACTTTGATGAGCAGAAATATTTTCATCGCCAACCTCTTGAACGAGATGTAGAATGGCGTGAGAAGTTATCATCGCCCCCCCCCCTACAAAAATCATCATTGAGCGTGTGATAGAGAGAAGAGTGAGGCTCGTATTCTTAGCCATGGCTTGGCTCTGGCTTGGGGTCAAGGGAGCCGACTCAAAGCCATGCGCACTTAACTTGAGCCAGCTCCCAATGGTCCCAGCCAAGTTCAGGGTTTCCATGATGCCAATCAGAGCCACGGCTGAGCCGCTCACTCCTGCGTCTTGGAAGCAGCCGAGAGGCTCGAGACGGAGCTGTGACTAAGGATAAAGCGGCAAGCGCTTGCGAGAGTTCTATAGAGTGTGGAGAGCGTGAGCAAGGCGAGGAGACAGACGGGGAGAGCGTGGAGGGGGGGGGGTACGAAGTCGTCGGTGCCGCCATCATTTGACCTCGCCGCAGTCGGTAATCTCCACGCGACCCTTGACATCTCCCTTGCGCGAGCCCAGCTCCTCCATCTTCTTCACGATGTCCATGCCGCTCGTCACGTGACCAAACACCACGTGCTTCCCGTCCAGCCTGGGCACAGGCACAACAGACAAAGGATCCCCTGTGTAGCCTTCTTAGACTTGGAGAAAGTGCTGTTCGCGAGTAGCACATTTGAAGGCTGTGACGACGGCACACGAGGGTGGCCGGGTGGCCAGCACCACGCCTGGCTGCCTTTGTGTCCCCAGTGCTCTTTTACACAAGCCGCAACCAGGTACTTATTGAAGGCCGAGTCGACCTAGAGGAGGGCCCAAGATCGGTTCAGATAATCGTTAAAGTTATTGGTCACAAACGGGAATCAAAGTTGGGTAACTGGGTTTGGAGCACAGTGTGCTCACCACTCGCACACACGCACCCTGGGCTGTTAGACGAACGAGTTACACAACAACAACAGCCGCCGCCGCCATCCTCCACTCCATGGTGGTGACCACCACGGTGTTTGTGTGCCAGGCCATGTGAAGTGTCGAAGGCTCACTGACAGGTCAAATGACAGACCCAAGTCCCATGGGTTGATAGACTGAGATGACCGGCAGATGCACCAGCTGTGCCCCCCTAACTGTGCAAACTTTCATTTTATCCACCCAGCACTTTGCTCGTTGTTGTGAGCATCCCTCCTTTGCCCTCCGTTGTTGCTGGAGGGCGACTGCCTCCAACTTCACAAAGTCCTTCACGATCCTCCTCCAGAGGCTGATCTTGACACCACTGATACCAGTCTTTGGCAGGTCCATTCAGCTCCACATTATCCTGTCCCACATCAGTCCATCTCTCCTTCAGCCCGTGCCACGCCCATTTAGCCCCCTCTATCCAGCCGAACAAAAGCTGTTTTGGGCATGCAGTGGCTGGGCATGCGGGCTACATGACCCAGCCAACGCAGCCTTGTTTGCCGGAGGAGCTTACCGATGGAACTGTCCAGATCTTTCAAGAATTTGTGAGCTCCTCACACAATCCAACCTGGTTAAACCCAGGATGGATCATAGGCAAACCAGCTTGAATGTTTCTAACTGGTGCAGATGTTCTATTTGGAGGGGTCCACATTTCGCAAGCATAGTGAAAGGAGGGCACGACTGTGGCCGAGCATACCCAAAGTTTCGTGTGGAGCAACAAACTTCTAAACAGTGTTAGGCAGCCAATGAAAAACCTCGGCTGTCAAACCAGAACTGGTCTTGATTTGAAGCTTTCGTGACTGCAGGAATCCATACTCTTTGGTTATTTCGGTAAAGTCACGTAGATATAAAATTTAAAAAATCACGACGTTTTGGGCACAACACAAGCATCCATCATCAGGTGACTTTACCGAAAGAACCAAAGAGTACAGAACTGGTCTGACAACAGAGGTCTCACTCTGGCTTCACGAGTTACACACACGCGATCACACACACACACATATGCACTCTCTCACCAGTTTGTAAGGTCCGTGCAGATAAAGAACTGGGATCCATTTGTGTTTTTCCCAGCATTTGCCATTGACAGTATACCTGCACGCGCGCACACACCCGGCGCGTTATAGACACAAAGACAAAGACACCCCATAGAGCAGGGGTGGGGAACATTTATTCTGCCAAGGGCCATTTGGATATTTATAACATCATTCGCGAGCCATTCAAAATTAAATTTATGTTGCTATGAAAAAAGCTCAGATTTATTGAATTTCGAGTCATGCGGTTGCCTTGGCAGGGCCAGATTAAATTATTTCACGGGCCTTATACGGCCCGCGGGCCAGACGTTCCCCACCCCTGCCATAGAGCCTCTAACAGGCTGCTGGAGCAAGTTAGCGAGCGCCTATAGACGCTAGCACGGCACATCAGTGGGTGGGTCTCCAGCACCAAATCCAGCCGTTTCTCTTTTTCTCCCCGATGCTGATGTTTGCACACTGCATCAGACACACATTGAAGCCTTAGTTGACCTAGAGGACACCTTGGAATGTTCAGGTAGTCACTGCCACTGATGTTGGCCATGAGCGGGAATGGAACTCGGAGTTTGCAGACAAAATTAAATACACAGAACATTCTAGACACACGCACGCGCCCATGCCCACACGTACACACACACACTGTATATTAGTGTGTCAATGTGTTTAGTAGCGCGCGTGTATTGGTGCATACGAGGGTGTGTGCCTCCGAAACGTCGTGATCTTTATTTTATTTTTATTAAATTTTGATGTTTTACCTACGTGACTTTACCGAAAAAACCTAAGAATATGAATCCTTGCAGTCACGAAAGCTTCAAATCTAGAATTAGAGGGTGTGTGTGTTACCGTGTTTACGCGTGTAAGTTGGCGTGTTAGCGCATGCCGCTTACCGGGCCCTGTGTGCTTGAGAATGAAGTTCTCGTCACGGAACGTCCTGCCATAGATGGACACTCCACCCGTGCCATCATTGCGAGTGAAGTCTCCCCCCTACGCGCACACACGCATACACATGTCATACACGCACACACATGTAATACACGCACAGCACACACACACACACGTGAACAACAGCTGCCAACCGTGCTTATCGGAGGGTGTGGGGAATCAGAGGTCCTTGATCATGTTTGGGCATCTCGCCAAACAGAAGCTGCTTGGGCATACGGGCGACTTGACCCAGCCACCGCAGCCTTGCTTGCCGGAGGAGCTCACTGATGGGAATGGGTCCAAAGCTTTCAAGAAATTGAGCTCCACACAATCTGGCCTGGTTATACCCAGGATGGGTCATCGGCAGGCCAGCCTGAATGCTCCTCACTGGTACAGATCTTCTTTAAGGAGGGGTCCACGTTTGACAAGCGTAGAGAAACAAGGGCATGACTATGGCCGAGAAGACCCAGAGTTTCTAATGGAGCGACGACAGACCAGGTGGCTTCCACACAGCGCGACACAGCTAATGCTGGTGCATGGGCGCATGTGGAAGCGTCATGCGTCTTTGTGCACACTGGTGTACGTGTACGAGTTCTTGTGTGTACGTGTGAATGTGTGCGAATGTGGTGTCACCGTGCCTGGCACATGAATTTGGGGATGATTCTGTGGAAGATGGAGCCCTTGTATCCGAAGCCATGCTCCCCCGTACACAGTGCACGGAAATTCTCTAACACGCACACAGAGACAAAAGACACATACATATACACGCACACAAAGCTCCCCCCTATAGCCTGTACAGACATTTGAGGCAAGTGCTGTTAGTGAGCAGCACCAATGATGGCCGGCACGGCACAAAAGGTGGTCAACACTACACCCGGCCACCAATGTTTACACACTGCACCAGGTACTAATTTACGGCCGAGTCAACCTAGAAGAGGACCGGTTCAGATAATTAATCATCACCGGTGTTGGTTGCTGCGAGGGGGAATTGAACTCGGGTTGTAGCCAGGTTCGTAGTGCAGCACTAACCACTACACTCCTGCTCCACACAAACCACACACACAGTCACACGTTCTCACACACACAAAAACAGCGATCCCCTGAATAGCTTACACAGGCTGTTAGCAAACTCGTACTCGCGCGCACTCTCGCTCACCTGCAGTCTTGGGCACCACGTCAGCCCTCAACTGAAACAGAGCCGAGAAAATTACGTTAATTAGTGTAACGGCGGTCAGAGCAGTACTAAGAGTGCACACGCTGGTAATTACATCCAGACGAGAAAACACACGCAGGGTAGAGACATCATCGCGTTGATCTACATCCAGCAGTGAAGCAGACCGTGATGATTACACTGAGAGACAGAAAGAGGAATGTATGGATCAGAGAACGCACGCAGGTCCGAGACATCGTCACATTGACCACTAACAGTAGACAGGTCCACGACTCTTGGAGAGGATGGGGAGGCTTTCATCCTGCAGTGAGGCAGACTCATGATCCAGTACTCTTCTATAGCTACAGCTACCCTCGTTACTATTGCCATGAGCGTCACATGTTCATTCCCTCCACCCATGCCGAGGACCGTCTACCGGACAGTTTCATATCGTCGACACCGTTTCCAACCACCGCACTGCAAGTCACCCCCCCCCCCCCGCCCAGCCATACCCACCCACAACCCACCCGCTTCTTCCCCTCACATTGCTCCACTTAGGAATTCCCTCGATTTCCCTCTCTTCCCAAGTTGTCGTACAAGAAACGTGTTAATACTTATCTATCACACCTTCAGGTGTGCTGTGTGTTGCTGGCCGCTTGGCATTTTGGACCTGTGGGCCTGTGCTCAGCAACGGATTCAGAAAAAAAAATCAAACCCCACTACCCCCCCCCACCCCGTCTACCCCCTTTATCCACACCACCCCCCGCACCTCAAACGTGATCCTGCCGAGCGGGCCCGAGTCTGCCGACACGTCCATGAAGACCACGGGGTTCGTGGTGGGAGGCGGAGGGGCCCCGTGGGCCCAGCGGGCCGCGGTGGCCCCCAGCGTGGGCCGCACCATGGCGCCCAGCAAAGAGGAGGCCGCTGGTCGGCAGAGCAACGGTCGGCATAGTGACGCCATGGAAACCTGGCGGGGAGGGGAAACGGAGAAGAATTGTGTTAAGATTGAGGCATATTCAGACACGGGTAAAGACTCCCTCCCCCCCCACAGACTCGCGCAGAGATCCCAGACTCTTCAAGGAGACCCCCCCTCCACCCCAGGCTTGTGCAGAGACCCATATAGTTACGTAGGGTCCCATATGTATTAGACTTTGATATTGAAATAGACCGAGATAAGACATTGGCATTAAAAATGTATTGCTATAGAAGGATAAAGAACGACCAACTTAAAAGTAAGAAAACGATTGCACACAGAAGCCGAACTAATGTAGTGATTGAGAAGGAAACTGGCACTATTTGGACACGCATGTAGGATGAACGGGAACATTTAAAGTGTGTTGTTCAGAAAGATGGGAGAAACTGAAAAGCGAGGAAGACCTAACAGAGAATGGCTTGATGACGACATAAGAGATTGGTGCCAAAAAGATGTGCACTACTTGCGTATATTGGCACAAGACGGCAGAAGGTGTAAACGAATGACAAAGTGTGCAGTGGACAGGCCTTCATCCAGCAGTGGAATCAAAAATAACATTGATATTCCACAATCAGAATATTTATATGGGAGGAATCCTATAAGCTATAAAGCTCTTTTTTCACAGATGTCCGGAAGGGGCGTGAAAAGTATAGGAAAGGCAAAGAAAACTTAAAATGTACAAATAAAAACTGAAGTATTTTGATCTTACCAGGTAAAGCTCACCGAGGTATCAACTTATCTTTCAGAAGAGACATGGCCACAAATGATAGCTCAACAAAGTGGCCCACCATGTGGAAATGTACAGCAGCAAAATCATTTTAATAATCCCAACGCATGTTTCTAAATTAGGGAAAAACCGGAGCCAGAGAAAAAAAAAGCCACGCCACCACGTGGAGCGAGTGGTGACGTGCTCCAGCATTGGAGCGTTGGTTGCAGAGGCTAACGGTTCAAACCTGGCATGCCACCCTGGTCAATACTGCAGTCGTATTAACCGCAGTAATACTACACGCCGCTCGCTTCACTCGCAGTGGACTTTAAAGATCCCGCGACATCATTCCCAAGAGTAGACCACTGTGCCCCGGCGACACGAATCCACATTTGAAACAAACGACACAGAAAATCTAAATTTCGATTTAAAGCTTTCGTGACTGCAGGGATTCATCAGCTTGGTTCTTTCGGTAAAGTCACGTAGAAGGGAAATAATAAAAATATAACAATAAAATAATTCTCACGACGTTTCGGCCACAACACAAGCAGCCGTCCTCAGGTGAAGAACAGGTCTGTCGGAAAGACAGCGTCTGACTTGTTCTTCACCCGAGGACGGCTGCTTGCGTTGTGGTCGAAACGTCGTGAGAATTATTTTATTATGTTTAATTTTATTATTTTATTATTTCCCTTCTACGTGACTTCACCGAAAGAACCAAGATGACAGCAAATCTATTCAAACGGGTTCACAAACAGCAGCAAACATCGCCCCCTACTGCGTAAACTTGGCATGACGCCTCACTGAAGAAAGAGAGTCAAGAGTTCCGGCGGGGCTGTCTGGAGCAATCAAGCGGAATCTGCATCATTATCAATGCCGCTCGGATGCTACCACAGTGATGCAGTGGCCTTGCAATGCAGAGGTCACAGATCTCCCGGCGCAGGCAGTCCAAACGGTGGACCTGACCTCACCGCCGCCGTCTAATCCTGCAGCAGGCAGCAAGGAATGCGTTGCACAATCACCACCACCACCAGTTAAGTCCGTGATCGGACAGATCGCAGGTGATGGGGTAAAGTGTTGGTTACTCCCACCTCTAGTGATACGTAGTGGAAGAGTAGGCCAAATACACTCCAGAGTGGCCTCTAGTGGCGTGAGCAGCCACTTGCAAGAGCCCGAGCCTTTAGCTGGATTAAGGCCTCCCCACACACACCATGCGAGTTGGTTGGCAAGGGTGGAGATTGATCATACTTCACCACGCTGGTTAATGGGGGGTAGGTAGGTCAAGGATGGTGGGTGGGTAAGGCTGCCCAGATGTGTATGCTGCGATAAAGAGACCCCTAAACATTCACAGCAAACAAGCCCAATTTGTGCTCAAATACTCCCTCCCTCATCATTGTCACAGCCTAACGATCATGCAAAGATATCTTTATTTTATACTGGTAGGAACCTCCTGGTTACACCAGCCCATAGGGGAGTATTGTGTCCGTCCGTCGTGCAGGGAGGGGCTGGGTGGGTGGGGAGGGAGGGTCTGGGTGGGGAGGGGCTGGTCACCCCGTGGTGCCCTTATGAAACTCAAAGTTTAACCTACTCACGCCGGCTTGTGCCCGCCCTCACAGTCGGGCATATTTGCGGAATACACCACGCCGCCGTTGACCCTGGCCATTGACCGAGCAACCCAACGTTCCTACCAGCTCCCTCCGCAGGAATGTGTTTTCACCACATAAGGCCCACGGAGCTATGTAGCTCTTTTACTGGTAGGAACGAAGTGGACCAGCCTACAATAGATTACATCGTCCGTCCGTCCGTCCGTGTAGCAACATCGCCCCCTACTGCAAACACTTGGCATGACCCTACAAAAACCTTTAGACTCGGTGACGCTTTCCTGGCTAAACAAGTGTAACATTCCCTTATAATTCCCTCAGATAGCTTTTAATTAAAACATTTAAATTAATGAGGCTTTCCTGGCTAAACACGTGTAACATTCCCTTATAATTCCCTGAGATAGCTTTTAATTAAAACTTTGAAATTAAATAAATAACTCACAGCACCCTAAAGCCTACAGCTAGGCCTAAAGCCTAGAACTAGGCCTCAAACTCTCCCTTCGCATCGTCCGATTTGGTGTAGCAACATCGCCCCCTACTGCAAACACTTGGCAGGACCCTACAAAAACCTTTAGACTCAGTGGGCTTTCCTGGCTAAACAAGTGTAATAATACATTATGTTTATATTCTTTGGTTATTCGTTCCTACCAGCCCACCCCGCAGGGTCCTGATTATTTTTTTACACGCTTTCTATTAACTCACTCTGTCTGTGTTGTCGTATCCTCAAATCTTGTAACTCCATTTTAACCCACTTCCCAATGTGGTATCGACTGTAAACTTGGTATACTTATACCAAACTGATGACAATACTATATTCTATCATTAAAATATTTTTTACATCTTATGTTTTGGCTTGGGTCTATTTGTCCACAGCCAACTCATGTTGGCTGTAAATCACCACAGTCCCCTTACGTTGTGGCAAGCCTCGGGGCCACTTCCTGGAGTCGTGGAGTTCTTCCATTACTAGTACGGTACATTTCATTAAAGAGTGTTTTTTTTTTAAGTTTATTTTTTAATACTACTTATTTAGAAGCGACTGATGGCCCAACGAAGTGGCTTGTCACAAGAAAACGTATAGCAGCCAAATACTCTTAAACGCATGTTTCTAAATGTACGGGGGGGGGGGGGGGGGGGGGGGGACGCGGAGTCCGGAAAAAAAGTAACAGAGTGAACACGCAGAAACACACAGCAGGCTTATGGGTAGAGATGGACCCCCACGACCTCCTGCACACCAGGCGAGGCAGACAACATCTCACCACTTCTTAGCGGAATTAGCATCGTGCCTCAAGGCATCACGGGGCAGGCACCCCCCTCACCCTCCAAGGGGGTCACATAGAGCCCCCCCTCCACAAGACCCCATCCCCCTCCAAGGGGATCACACAGAGCCCCCCCTCCAAGGGGGTCACACAGAGCCCCCCCTCCACCTCCAAGGGGGTCACACAGAGCCCCCCCTCCACAAGACCCTTCCCCTCCAAGGGGGTCACACAGAGCCCCCCCTCCACAAGACCCTCCCCCTCCAAGGGGGTCACACAGAGCCCCCCCTCCACAAGACCCCATCCCCCTCCAAGGGGGACACACAGAGCCCCCCCTCCACAAGACCCCTCCCCCCTCCCCCTCCAAGGGGGTCACACAGAGGCTCCCCTTCCACAAGACCCCCTCCCCCTCCATGGGGGTCACACAGAGCCCCCCCTCCACCTCCAAGGGGGTCACACAGAGCCCCCCCTCCACCTCCAAGGGGGTCACACAGAGCCCCCCCCCCCCTCCACAAGACCCTTCCCCTCCAAGGGGTCACACAGAGCCCCCCCTCCACAAGACCCCATCCCCCTCCAAGGGGGTCACACAGAGCCCCCCCTCCACAAGACCCCTCCCCCCTCCCCCTCCAAGGGGGTCACATAGAGGCTCCCCTTCCACAAGACCCTCCCCCTCCAAGGGGGTCACACAGAGCCCCCCCTCCACAAGACCCCATCCCCCTCCAAGGGGGTCACACAGAGCCCCCCCTCCACAAGACCCCATCCCCCTCCAAGGGGGTCACACAGAGCCCCCCCTCCACAAGACCCCTCCCCCTCCAAGGGGGTCACACAGAGCCCCCCCCTCCACAAGACCCCATCCCCCTCCAAGGGGGTCACACAGAGCCCCCCCTCCACAAGACCCCATCCCCCTCCAAGGGGGACACACAGAGCCCCCCCCCTCCACAAGACCCCTCCCCCTCCAAGGGGGTCACACAGAGCCCCCCCCCTCCACAAGACCCCTCCCCCTCCAAGGGGGTCACACAGAGCCCCCCCCTCCACAAGACCCCTCCCCCTCCAAGGGGGTCACACAGAGCCCCCCCTCCACAAGACCCTCCCGCTCCATGGGGGTCACACAGAGCCCCCCCACCACAAGACCCCATCCCCCTCCAAGGGGGTCACACAGACCCCATCCCCCTCCAAGGGGGTCACACAGAGCCCCCCCTCCACAAGACCCCCTCCCCCTCCAAGGGGGTCACACAGAGCCCCCCCTCCACAAGACCCCTCCCCCTCCAAGGGGGTCACACAGAGCCCCCCCCCTCCACAAGACCCCATCCCCCTCCAAAGGGGTCACACAGAGCCCCCCCTCCAAGGGGGTCACACAGAGCCCCCCCTCCACAAGACCCTCCCCCTCCAAGGGGGTCACACAGAGCCCCCCCTCCACAAGACCCCATCCCCCTCCAAGGGGGTCACACAGAGCCCCCCCTCCAAGGGGGTCACACAGAGCCCCCCCTCCACAAGACCCCTCCCCCTCCAAGGGGGTCACACAGAGCCCCCCCTCCACAAGACCCCTCCCCCTCCAAGGGGGTCACACAGAGCCCCCCCCTCCACAAGACCCCATCCCCCTCCAAGGGGGTCACACAGAGCCCCCCCTCCACAAGACCCTCCCCCTCCAAGGGGGTCACACAGAGCCCCCCCTCCACAAGACCCCATCCCCCTCCAAGGGGGTCACACAGAGCCCCCCCTCCACAAGACCCCCTCCCCCTCCAAGGGGGTCACACAGAGCCCCCCCTCCACAAGACCCCTCCCCCTCCATGGGGGTCACACAGAGCCCCCCCACCACAAGACCCCTCCCTCTCCAAGGGGGTCACACAGAGCCCCCCCACCACAAGACCCTCCCTCTCCAAGGGGGTCACACAGAGCCCCCCCACCACAAGACCCCTCCCTCTCCAAGGGGGTCACACAGAGCCCCCCCACCACAAGACCCCTCCCTCTCCAAGGGGGTCACACAGAGCCCCCCCACCACAAGACCCCTTCCTCTCCAAGGGGGTCACACAGAGGGGGGCCACGAGGCTCGAACCCCCACGTGGTTGCTGCGACCTTCACACGGCCCTGACTGAAAGGGGGGAGAGGAGGGATCGCCTCCCTCTCCCCTCCCCCCTGAGGGAGCCCCCCCCTGAGGGAGCCCCCCCTCCCTTGCGCACTCCACTGCTGGATGAGCCCCCCCCCACACACCCCTCTCAATCGCCCGCCGCTCGCTCACCCGGAGTCGTCACGTGGGCCCGGAACGTGGATGCGCCAGACGTGGCCCCGGAACGAGAATTTATAGGCCCCGGGGTGCCCCGGAGCGTGAAATAAACGACGCCGGGCCCCGGAACGTGGATTAATTAATATATGTGGCCCATGCCGGTCACAGTGAATGGTTTAATATCGGTATCGTGATCAATGACAATGCAGAGCAATTGAGATTGGACAATGATATGCTTATACTGGTAGGAACCTCCTGGTTACACCAGCCCACAGGGGATTATTGTGTCCGTCCGTCGTGCAGGGAGGGGCTGGGTGGGGAGGGAAGGGCTGGGTGGGGAGGGGAGGGTGAGGAGGGGCTGGGTGGGGAGGGTGGGGCTGGGTGGGGAGGGGAGGGTGGGGAGGGGCTGGGTGGGGAGGGTAGGGAGGGGCTGGGTGGGGCTGGGTGGGGAGGGGCTGGTCACCCCGTGGTGCCCTTATAAAACTCAACGTTTCACCTACTCACGCCAGCTTGTGCCCGCCCTTACAGTCGGCCATATTTGCGGAATACACCACGCCGCCGTTGACCCTGGCCATTGACCGAACAACCCAACGTTCCTACCAGCTCCCTCCGCAGGAATGTGTTAATCCCCTGTTCATCATGATGTCTCAAGAGGCCGTCCATAAATGACGTCACGCACCTAGGGAGGGGGGGGGGTCAGACATTTGTGACGATGTGTGACGAGGGGGGGGGGGGGTTGATAAATGTGACATCACATCAAAATGCGCAACTTTAAATAAATATGGATTTGTTATAACACTAATTGTTATAACAACATCAGGGTGCAGCGCCACATTAAATACGCACTACAATGACAATAGTTTAAAGCGATTTGAAGCATGTTTTATTTTCAAAATGGAAATATGGTTTTGGGGGGGGGGGGGCAGAGCTTTGTGACGTCATATTTGAGGGGGGGGGGTCTGATTTTTTGTGACGCCGTGTGACGAGGGGGGGGGGGGGGTCAAAAAATTGTCCAAAATCGCGTGACGTCATTTATGGACGACCCCCAATAGCATTACGAAGATCGCGTGACGTGGGGGTAAGTTGACGCTGAGGGGGGGAGGCGCCCCCCCATGTGGAGTGACGTCACCCGCTAATTAATATTAATGTTGGTGTGTCACTTTGGAGGACGTCACCTGCTTATGATTACTAATGTGGGGGGCTGTTCGATGTGGAGTGACGTCACCCGCTCATGATTGTTAATGAGGGGGGGGGGGTCCATGTGGAGGACGTCACCTGTTCATGAGTATTTATGAGGAGGGCTGGCCGACGTGGAGTGACGTCACGCGCGGGACACACAGACATTCTTATACCTACGTGACTTTACCGAAAGAACCAAAGAGTATCGATTATTGGCTCATTATAAGAGTAAATGTTGCACGGGGGTCCCGGCACCTGAATCCCCCCCCCCACCCGAGCGGGAGGCCCCGGCACCTGGATCCCCCCCTAGCGGAGGCCCCGGCACCTGAATTCTCCCTAACGGGGCCCCAGCACCTGGATTCTCCCTAACGGGGGCCCCGGCACCTGGATTCCTCCCCTTGCAGGGGCCCCGGCACCTGGATTCCCTAGCGGAGGCCCCGGCACCTGAATTCTCCCTAACGGGGCCCCGGCACCTGGATTCTCCCTAACGGGGGCCCCGGCACCTGGATTCCTCCCCTTGCAGGGGCCCCGGCACCTGGATTCCTCCCCTTGCAGGGGCCCCGGCACCTGGATTCCCAAGCGGGGGCCCCGGCACCTGAATTCTCCCTAACGGGGTCCCGGCACCTGGATTCCCTACCGGGGGCCCCGGCACCTGAATTATCCCTAGCGGGGGCCTCGGCACCTGGATTTTTTAGCGGGGGCCCCGGCACCTGAATTTTCTCTAGCGGGGGCCCCGGCACCTGGATTCCATGGCGGGGGCCCCGGCACCTGCATTCCCGCTAGCGGGGGCCCCGGCACCTGGATTCTCCCTAACGGAGTCCCGACACCTAGATTCCCTACCGAGGGCCCCGGCACCTGAATTCTCCCTAGCGGCGGCCCCGGCACCTGGATTTTTTAGCGGGGGCCCCGGCACCTGGATTTTCTCTAGAGGGGGCCCCGGCGCCTGGATTCTCCCTAGCGGGAGCCCCGGCACCTGGATTCCCTAGCGGGGGCCCCGGCACCTGAATTCCCGCTAGCGGGGGCCCCGGCACCTAGATTCTCCTTAGCGGGGGCCCCGGCACCTGAATTCCCGCGAGCGGGGGCCCCGGCACCTGGATTCCCTAGCGGGGGCCCCGGCACCTGGATTCCCTAGCGGGGGCCCCGGCACCTGAATTCCCGCTAGCGGGGGCCCCGGCACCTGGATTCTCCTTAGCGGGGGCCCCGGCACCTGAATTCCCACTAGCGGGGGCCCCGGCACCTGGATTCTCCTTAGCGGGGCCCCGGTACCTGAATTCTCTCTAGCGGGGGCCCCGGCACCTGAATTCCCTAGCGGGGTCCCTGGCACCTGAATTTTCTCTCGCGGGGCCCCGGCACCTGAATTCCTTGGCGGGGGGGGGGGCCCGACACCTGAATTTTCCCTAGCGACGTGGGGGCCCCGGCACGTGAATCGTCGCCGGCTTGCTGCTCCGTGACGAGGACATGGCGTTCTGCTCGTCTCTCTGTCGCCGCGCGCTCAGGAGGGTCCTCGCCCGCGGCGGAGGACGAGGAGGACAAGGAGGCGGCGGCGGCGGCTGCGGGGACGACGGCGCGAGCTTTCACGCGAGCGCCAAGCGGTGAGCAGCGGATAGAACCTGGCCCGGTGACCGGCGGACCCCATAGAGATGAATGGGATTGTATTCCGTAGAGCGGATGCGCGCGCCGGGCTATGGTGGGCCGCGCTCTGATTGGCTGTTGGATGCCGCGCCGACTTTCGTTTTTTTTAGGCGCGTTCCGATTGGTCGTGTCGGTTGCACGTGGTGCGTCGCGGCCAATCGGGTTGTGCCCACCCCCCCCCCCCCCCAAGAGCGACCGCTTGTGTGCAGTGGGGATTGTGATCGGAGCGCGGCTGATGAAAGAGCCGCGGGGGTAGCGTCAGCGGCGCGGCGGTGACCTCCGCGGGTCGCGCGAAACCTCCACAAACATCACGCAGAGTTCATGTCGCGGCCCCATTCATCATTCAGTCATCGACTCGGTCAACATGGTCACCCGCTTCACTACTCCACCTCCACCCCCCCGACAGTCTCACGCAATCGCACCCCTCACCCATCACTCATCCTCCACGTGCTCCGTCGTTGAACCGTGACACGGCTCACCCATCCACCCCCCCCCCGCTCCATCACCTGCCTCAAGCCTCCCGGCACCCACGTGGCCCATTCATTCGTTCACTCACAGGTCACAGGTCAATCACAGGTCACTCACAGGTCAGGAGTGAAGCGGGTGACCATGTTGACGGAGTCGATGACTGAATGAATGGGGCCGCGACATGAACTCTGCGTGATGTTTGTGGAGGTTTCGTGCGACCCGCGGAGGTTACCGCCGCGCTGATGCTACCCCCGCTGCTCTTTCACTCACAGGTCACTCACAGGTCATAGGTCACTCACAGGTCACAAGTCAATCACAGGTCACCCACAGGTCACTCACTCACAGGTCACTCACTCAAAGGTCACAGGTCACTCACAGGTCACTCACTCACAGGTCACTCACAGGTCACTCACTCACATGTCACTCACAGGTCACTCACTCAGGTCACTCACTCACAAGTCACAGGTCACTCACAGGTCACTCAGGTCACAGGTCACTCACAGGTCACTCAGGTCACAGGTCACTTACAGGTCACTCACTCCCAGGTCACTCACAGGTCACTCAATCACTCACAGGTCACTCACAGGTCACCCACAAACTCGCCCCGTCGCTTCACGCGCCCGCGGTGATCGCGGCGACCACTGCAGAGCCGGCACGGTGCCGCCACCCAGCAGTGCGAAGCCCCCTGGGTTCGATTCCCGACGCGGGCGCCTTTCTGCGTGGGGTCTTCTTGTTCTCTACGTTCAACCCCCTGTCCTGCAGAGCGCGTGTGAGTTCATTAGCGAGCGGGTTGACTGGAGGTTGTGTGTACGGTATTCTCCCCTTGTTCTGCAGAGCGAGTGTTGTGCGAGTGTGTGAATGGAGTGTGAGTACTATCACAGTGTGTGTGAGTGTGTGGATGGAGTGTGAATATTATCACGGTGTGTGTGAGTGTGTGGATGGAGTGTGAATACTATCAGTGTGTGTGAGTGTGTGGATGGAGTGTGAATACTATCACAGTGTGTGTGAGTATGTGAATAGAGTGTGTCTATTATCACAGTGTGTGTGAGTGTGTGGATGGAGTGTGAATACTATCACAGTGTGTGTGAGTGTGTGAATAGAGTGAATATTATCACAGTGTGTGTGAGTGTGTGAATGGAGTGTGAATATTATCACAGTGTGTGTGAGTATGTGAATAGAGTGTGTCTATTATCACAGTGTGTGTGAGTGTGTGGATGGAGTGTGAGTACTATCACAGTGTGTGTGAGTGTGTGGATGGAGTGTGAATATTATCACAGTGTGTGTGAGTGTGTGGATGGAGTGTGAATACTATCAGTGTGTGTGAGTGTGTGGATGGAGTGTGAATACTATCACAGTGTGTGTGAGTGTGTGAATAGAGTGAATATTATCACAGTGTGTGTGAGTGTGTGAATGGAGTGTGAATATTATCACAGTGTGTGTGAGTATGTGAATAGAGTGTGTCTATTATCACAGTGTGTGTGAGTGTGTGGATGGAGTGTGAGTACTATCACAGTGTGTGTGTGTGTGTGTGAATAGAGTGTGAATATTATCACAGTGTGTGTGAGTGTGTGAATAGAGTGTGAATATTATCACAGTGTGTGTGTGTGTGGATGGAGTGTGAATTATCACAGTGTGTGTATGGAGTGTGTGAATACAATCACTGTGTGAGTGTGGATGGAGTGTGAATACTATCCAAGTGTGTGTGAGTGTGGATGGAGTGTGAATACTATCACAGTGTGTGTGAGTGTGTGAATAGAGTGTGAATATTATCACAGTGTGTGTATGGAGTGTGTGAATACAATCACAGTGTGTGTGAGTGTGTGGATGGAGTGTGAATACTATCACAGTGTGTGTGAGTGTGTGGATGGAGTGTGAATATTATCACAGTGTGTGTGAGTGTGTGAATAGAGTGTGTCTATTATCACAGTGTGTGTGAGTGTGTGGATGGAGTGTGAGTACTATCACAGTGTGTGTGAGTGTGTGGATGGATGGAGTGTGAATATTATCACAGTGTGTGTGAGTGTGTGAATAGAGTGTGAATATTATCACAGTGTGTGTGAGTGTGTGGATGGAGTGTGTGTGAGTGTGTGGATGGAGTGTGAGTACTATCACAGTGTGTGTGAGTGTGTGGATGGAGTGTGTCTATTATCACAGTGTGTGTGAGTGTGTGGATGGAGTGTGAATGGAGTGTGTGTGAGTGTGTGGATGGAGTGTGAATACTATCACAGTGTGTGTGAGTGTGTGAATGCTATCACAGTGTGTGTGAGTGTGTGAATGGAGTGTGAGTACTATCACAGTGTGTGTGAGTGTGTGAATGGAGTGTGAATATTATCACAGTGTGTGTGAGTGTGTGGATGGAGTGTGAATATTATCACAGTGTGTGTGAGTGTGTGGATGGAGTGTGAATATTATCACAGTGTGTACGAGTGTGAATGGAGGTTGTATATTCTCCCAGTGTGTGTGTATGGAGGCCGTGTATTCTACCCCTGTTCTGCGTGGGTTTCCTCTGAATTTCGCGGTGTCCGCCTCCCATAGCTGAACACACACACGGTGGAACTGCTATCGGCCAAAAGCTCATCCTCAATGCCGAAACAAAATGATCTGCAAATCACTCAATTGCGATCACAGTTTCAGCAGCAGCAATCATCGCCCCCTCCACTGCCGCTGCTGCTGCAAATTAAAAAAACTTGGCAGGACCCTCCTGAAAATAGTCTTGAGACTCGATGACGCTTACCTGCGTACCCACACAAGCGGAAGCACAATGGCACAGCAACAATACACGTGGATTCATCTTCTTTGTTCTTTCGGTAAAGTCACGTAGAAGGAAAATAATAAAAATAAAACATCGTTAAATAATTTTATAAATTTTCCTCATTTTATTATGTTTTGTTTTTGTTATTTTATTATTTTCCTTCTACGTGACTTTACCAAAAGAACCAAGAAGATGAATCCCTGCAGTCACGAAAGCTTTAAATCGAAATACACGTGGAGTTATCTCTCTGCCTTTTAACCGATGGTTGTTCGATTACACTGGTCAACACAATTTTTCTGGCATAAGGTATTCCAACGGTTTTAAGGTAATGTTGGGGTGCTGATTCCAAATCTGGCATCAGTTTTTGTCTATCAAATATTGCATTTTCAATAAAAACTGCAGAAGAAAAATATTAAATAAATGTGGATATCTACATAAAATGATATTATAAACACACTATCCTAAAAATACAGCACCATATTTTAACACTAAAGCAGTCATTGACTCGCAACAACTTGCAATCATAAGTGACAGTTAATTTCGGGTAAAATCAATGAAAATGGGGTATGCCGATAGCATAAAAATGAGATGTGATAGAGCAAATCTGAGATCAGATTTGGAATCAGCACCCAAAAATCCAGGCCAGAAAAAAACATTTTGTTGACCAGTGTTATGACTGCATTGTGTTGGTAGGCTGCCACGTGGTGGCCGAGAGCGGTGACTTCTCACAGCCGCGGTGCGTTGGGCAGTGGCAGCTTCCCTCCCAGCCACGTGGCGCGTTACATAACACATGCGGGGTGACCACAGAGGCCGAGACGAACTTACAAGATGACACGCTACGTTCCAAATAAGCTTACAATGCGTCTCTTCAACGTAATCTATCCCTTCCACACGCAACAAAAATATACACAAGTATTTATTTTTTGTACAAAACCCATCAGCCCCCACGGCCTTAGTGAGAGTATGTAATTTTAAAAGCCACATCTCTATAAATGCGTGTTCTCCACAGCGAACAGAATGATTCTATTATTCTGTAGTGTGCATTATAGACTTGGAACTAGAACCCATATCTTGTCTTTAAACATCTGGCAGGTCACCAGCATTGGTTCAAGTGAGCCTGACTCTTAACGGAATTTATATAGCGCCTTAACCAAGGCGATTTACAAAGAATTAACAACGGTACATATGGATGTGATGGGGGAGATGAGGTGAATGAAAATAGATGAGAGGAAGCAATGAGCAAATCTGTGATGTGTCAATTCAGTGAAAGCAACATTGATGACATTAAATGATGATGATGAATGAATTGAATGAATGGGATTAATGAGTGATGAGAATATGAAGACGGAACAGTAGCGGTGGTGGTCATGAGGAGGATATTGAGGGACGTAAGTGAGTTTTTAGTCTAGATTTGAAGTTTTCGTGACTGCAAGGATTCATACTCTTAGGTTTTTTCGGTAAAGTCACGTAGGTAAAAAATTGAAATTAATAAAAGTAAAATAAAAAAAATTACAAATTAAAAAAGTGTCGTGAATTTTTTAATTTGTTTTATTTTACTTTTATTAATTTCAATTTTTTACCTACGTGACTTTACCCAAAACACCTAAGAGTATGAGTTTTGAGTGTGGAACTCTGCTGCTGAATGTCTACGCGCGTTTAGAGTTTTGCTTGGGTTGAAATCACGCTGCTGGAATTGTGCGCTCCCAGAAGGCTGTGGGGCTGATGGGATGTGTGAATAAAATACTTGGGTGTTTATGTGTGCGGGCGACTTTGCCTGGTTTCATGATTAGGTGCCCTTTTCCTCGTACATTGGTCGCTTTTCCTTCGCCGTCTCCCCCCCCCCCCCCCCCCGATAATTGACACGTCTCATCTCCATGTATATAAAAGGCAAAGTTGTGATTGTGTGTGTCTGTTCTAAATGTTTAACGTACTTCCCGACATGCAACAAACTTGAAATTTACCATGTGGGTACTTTCCAGACTGTACACCATGCAAACATTATAAAAATACACTTTAGTATTTTTTGGGGGGGTTTGGGGGGCTCAATAATGCAAATATTTTTTGCACGGCAAGTGAGCTGTGACATCAAATCTGACATGTGACCCGCGCATGTGGAAGTGTCACGCATTGTAGTGTCGTGGTTAGCGTGCTGCGCTACGAACCCGGCGACCCGAGTTCGATTCCCGCTCACGGCCACCACCGGTGACGATTATTTGAACCGCTCCTGGACCTCCCCTAGGTCGACTCAGCCTCAAACGAGTAACTGCTGTGGTGTGTGAACATCGCCAGTGGGGAGACAAAGGCGGCCGGACGTGGTGAATCCAAGTCCCGGGCGAAGCCGGGTAGTGAAGCTTGTGTACTATAAGAATATCTCACAGTCACTGATCCCAAGCGATCATCACTCGGAGACCCCAAGGTGAATGGTAAACTACATCATTCATCTTGGGGCTCTATGGATGTGTAAGGGTCTCTGAGAGTCTATGGGTCTCTGAGAGTTTATGGGTCCCTGTGTGAGTCTATGAGTGTCTGTGTGAGTCTGTGGGTCTCTATGTAAGTCTATGGGTCTCTACGTCTATGGGTCTCTGTGTGAGTCTATGGGTCTCTGAGAGTCTATGGGTCAGTGGCGGCTCCTGCAAAATCTCTCAGGGGGGGCAAATGTCTGGATGATTGATAAGGATAAGGTCCACCCATGCAATAGATAAATTAACAGCTTAAGCATGTAAAGGCAACTTCACTTCTTTAATATTAATGAAAAATAAAGTGACTCTTACAATACATCTTGTTTGTTTCTATACTCACTATTAAAACAAACCACTCAAGTTTATTTTATTAAAGATTCCACTAGGTGGCAACATATATTGTTGGATGAAACGTGCTTACGTATGATGACGTAAGCACGTATGATGACGTAAGCACGTTAGGGCGAGCCCTCCCGGAAGCCATAGAGAATGCATTGCAGCGCCCCCGTTCGAAAAAAAACATCTCTGAATGTAAGTCTATGGGGCCACTCGGGGCGATTCTCAGCTGGAGGGAAATCGCCCAAAAAGAGGCGGTACTCCACAGAACGTAGTATGACGCTGATTGGACTATATCCAGAGGCTGCAGTGACGGCTAGCGTGACTCTGGTTGAATGACATTGGTGGTGCGTCGCCCAATCGCCCTAATGAAGAAACCGCCCCTGCTATGGGTCTCTGTGTGAGTCTATGAGTGTCTGTGTGAGTCTGTGGGTCTCTATGTAAGTCTATGGGTCTCTACGTCTATGTGTGAGTCTATGAGTCTCTGTATGAGTCAGTGGGTACTCCACAAGTCTACGTATCTCCATGTGAGGAGTCCAAGTTGTTTTTGTGTAACAAGGTGATAACGCAAGAGACCAGGAATAGGAGTTCAATTTGCAAGGGTGATGACTTGGGTTACCGAAATGGCAAAAACAAAATGAAGTTAAATTTCGATTTAAAGGTTTCGTGACTGCAGGGATTCATCTTCATGGTTCTTTCGGTAAAGTCACGTAGAAGGGAAGTAATAAAATAATAAAAATAAAACATAATAAAATAATTCTCACAACGTTTCGGCCACAACGCAAGCAGCCGTCCTCAGGTGAAGACCAGGTCTGTCGGGGAGACAGCGTCTGAATGAAACACCACCACGCTTGGAGCGTATATTTAAGCTGGGTTGGAAGGGGGGAAGTGCACCTTGACAAAAGAATTTGCAGACATGATTCCTAGTAAAAAGGTTTCAGTTTTGTTACCAGAAAAAAGGGGAAAACACTCTATTCTTATATTTTGGTACTGGAAAAGGAGGTCTAATGATTTAAATATCGGCCATTCTATAGGATTCGGGGCGGGGGGGGGTCAAACGTACATACGCAGGCGGAGGGGGGGGTGTACAGGGAGGGGGGTAAGGGTCAAATTTTGACAGATTTTTGCCTACGTACTAAATGGATGGCCCCTCATCTTGCAGCCGTGATTCAGTAGTGATTGAACTTATATACGAAGATGGTCTGGGTGGTACGGTGCTGGGTGTGTGTGCGATTAGCATAGTGCGGTGTGTGTAATTTGTTGCGTGTGTCTGTGAGTCAAATGGTGCAGCAGTGTGGTTCGGTGGGTGTGGGTGTGTGTGAGTGACGTGGTGCGGCAGTGTGGTGATTGTGTAGTGTGCACGCCGCACGAGTGACGTGGCGCCTTGCCCGTGCGCGTGAGTAAACGCGACAGTGGCGTGGTCCGCAGGTGCGAGGCCGTGGTGATCTCGGGCGTGGAGCTGGCGCGGGGGGTGCGCGCCGAGGTGAGCGACGGCGTGCGGGCATGGGTGTCTGCGGGCCACCGTCCGCCGCACCTCGCCGTGGTGCTGGTGGGCGACGACGCGCCCAGCCGCACCTACGTGCGCAACAAGACGCGCGCCGCCGAGCTCGTGGGCATCACGAGCACCGCCGAGACGCGCCCCGCCTCCGTCTCCCAGGAGGAGCTGCTGGCGCTCATTCACCGGCTCAACGCCGACCCTGGCACCGACGGTCTGCTGGTGCAGCTGCCCGTGCCCGGTGAGTCGTCCGCACGCTCGCTCGCTCGCCCGCACGCTCGCCCGCACGCTCGCTCATTCACGTGTACGCATGGGATACACACAAAGAGCTCCCATGTAGCCTTAACAGACTTTGGGGGCAATTGCTGTTAGCGAGCAATCTTTGAAATCCAGCACGGCACCACTAGGGGGTGGGGTGGCCTGTACCACATCCAGCCGCCTTTGTCTCCCGAGTGCTGTTGTTTAACATTCACAGCACCGGGTGCTCAATTAAGGCTGGGTTATCCTGGGGCATACCCAGAACCGGTTTAGATCATTGTCACCGATGTTGGTCATGAGCGGGAATCGAAGTTGGGCCGCCGGGTTCAGAGATGCAGTGCGCTAACCGCAGCACCACCACTCCCTTCATGGGTACACACATACACACAGATACAACAACAACAACCACCATTCGCCACTAAGTGGCGGTGACATCACCACGACACTTGTGCCAGGCCATGTGCACCTTGAGGCCACGTGAAGTGTCGAACGCCCGCTGGCAGGGGGTCACGGTGCAGACCCAGCAGGTGCCACGGGTCGACTGACTGAGATCACCGAGATGACTGGCTGATGCACCACCTGTGCCCCCCACTGTGCCAACTTGCTATGCTTTAGCCACCCGGCGCTCCGCTCGTTGTTGTGAGCGTCACTCCTCCGCCCTCCGTTGTGGTTGGAGGGCGACTGCTTCCAACTGCCCAGTAGCGTCCTTCACGAGCCTCCTCCACAGAGGCCGATCTTGACACCGCTGGTACCAGTCATCGGCAAGTCCACTCAGCTCCACGTCCTCCTGTACCACATCACTCCATCTCTTCTCTAGCCCGTGCCGCGCCCGTTTAGCCCCCTCGATCCGGCCGAACAAAAGCTGTTTAGGCATGCGGTGGCTGGGCATGCGGGCTACATGACCCAGCCAAAGCAGCCTTGCCTGCCGGAGGAGCTCACCGATGGGACTTTGCCCAGATTTTTCAAGGATTTGTGAGCTCCTCACACAATCCAGCCTGGTTAAACCCAGGATATAGATGCATAGATACACCCAGTGAGGTTTCCAAATACAGATACATGTGGATACACACACACGTATTCACGCGGCAACAGGGACGTGTTGGTGTGACGCGGCGCATGTTGGTGTGACGCCGTGCGTGCTGGTGTGCACAGACCACGTGGACGAGCGGGCCGTGTGCGACGCCGTGTGCCCGGAGAAGGACGTGGATGGGTTCCATGTGCTCAACGTGGGGCGGCTGTGCCTGGACCAGCGTGCCATGCTTCCAGCCACGCCGGCCGGGGTGTGGGAGATCCTGCAGAGAGCCGGTAACACCCGCAACATGACCGCCACCAAGCCACAACCACAGCCACCACGTTTTCGCGGCGGCATGACTGGGTGTGTGACTGGGTGTGTGGTTTGGTGTGTGACTGGGTGTGTGGTTGGGTAGGTGTGTGGCTGGGCAGGTAGCTGGGTGGGTGGCTGGGTGAGTTGCTGAGCAGGTGTGTGGCTGGGTAGGTGTGTGGCTGGGTAGGTGTGTGGCTGGGTAGGTGTGTGGCTGGGTAGGTGTGTGGCTGGGCGGCTGGCTGGGTAGGTGTGTGGCTGGGTAGGTGTGTGGCTGGGCGGCTGGCTGGGTAGGTGTGTGGCTGGGTAGGTGTGTGGCTGGGTAGGTGTGTGGCTGGGTAGGTGTGCGGCTGGGTAGGTGTGTGGCTGGGTAAGTGGTTGGGTAGGTGTGTGGCTGGGTAGGTGTGTGGTTAGGTAGGTGTGTGGCTGGGTAGGTGTGTGGCTGGGTAGGTGTGTGGCTGGGTAGGTGTGTGGCTGGGCGGCTGGTTTGGTGACTGGCTGGGTGACTGGCTGGGTAGGTGTGTGGCTGGGTAGGTGTGTGGTTGGGTAGGTGTGTGGCTGGGTGACTGGCTGGGTAGGTGTGTGGCTGGGTAGGTGTGTGGCTGGGTAGGTGTGTGGCTGGGTAGGTGTGTGGCTGGGTAGGTGTGTGGCTGGGCGGCTGGCTGGGTAGGTGTTTGGCTGGGTAGGTGTGTGGCTGGGTAGGTGTGTGGCTGGGTAGGTGTGTGGCTGGATAGGTGTGTGGCTGGATAGGTGTGTGGCTGGGTAGGTGTGTGGTTGGGTAGGTGTGTGGCTGGGTAGGTGTGTGGTTGGGTAGGTGTGTGGCTGGGTAGGTGTGTGGCTGGGTAGGTGTGTGGCTGGGTAGGTGTGTGGCTGGGTAGGTGTGTGGTTGGGTAGGTGTGTGGCTGGGTAGGTGTGTGGTTGGGTAGGTGTGTGGCTGGGTAGGTGTGTGGCTGGGTAGGTGTGTGGCTGGGTAGGTGTGTGGCTGGGTAGGTGTGTGGTTGGATAGGTGTGTGGCTGGATAGGTGTGTGGCTGGGTAGGTGTGTGGCTGGATAGGTGTGTGGCTGGATAGGTGTGTGGCTGGGTAGGTGTGTGGTTGGGTAGGTGTGTGGCTGGGTAGGTGTGTGGTTGGGTAGGTGTGTGGCTGGGTAGGTGTGTGGCTGGGTAGGTGTGTGGCTGGGTAGGTGTGTGGTTGGGTAGGTGTGTGGTTGGGTAGGTGTGTGGCTGGGTAGGTGTGTGGCTGGGTAGGTGTGTGGTTGGGTAGGTGTGTGGCTGGGTAGGTGTGTGGCTGGGTAGGTGTGTGGTTGGGTAGGTGTGTGGCTGGGTAGGTGTGTGGCTGGGTAGGTGTGTGGCTGGATAGGTGTGTGGCTGGATAGGTGTGTGGCTGGGTAGGTGTGTGGTTGGGTAGGTGTGTGGCTGGGTAGGTGTGTGGTTGGGTAGGTGTGTGGCTGGGTAGGTGTGTGGCTGGGTAGGTGTGTGGCTGGGTAGGTGTGTGGCTGGGTAGGTGTGTGGTTGGGTAGGTGTGTGGCTGGGTAGGTGTGTGGTTGGGTAGGTGTGTGGCTGGGTAGGTGTGTGGCTGGGTAGGTGTGTGGCTGGGTAGGTGTGTGGCTGGGTAGGTGACTGGCTGGGTAGGTGTGTGGCTGGGTAGGTGTGTGGCTGGGTAGGTGTGTGGTTGGGTAGGTGTGTGGCTGGGTAGGTGTGTGGCTGGGTAGGTGTGTGGCTGGGTAGGTGTGTGGCTGGGTAGGTGTGTGGCTGGGTAGGTGTGTGGTTGGGTAGGTGTGTGGCTGGGTAGGTGTGTGGTTGGGTAGGTGTGTGGCTGGGTAGGTGTGTGGCTGGGTAGGTGTGTGGCTGGGTAGGTGTGTGGCTGGGTAGGTGTGTGGCTGGGTAGGTGACTGGCTGGGTAGGTGTGTGGCTGGGTAGGTGTGTGGTTGGGTAGGTGTGTGGTGGTTGGGTAGGTGTGTGGCTGGGTAGGTGTGTGGCTGGGTAGGTGTGTGGCTGGGTAGGTGTGTGGCTGGGTAGGTGTGTGGCTGGGTAGGTGTGTGGCTGGGTAGGTGTGTGGCTGGGTAGGTGACTGGCTGGGTAGGTGTGTGGCTGGGTAGGTGTGTGGTTGGGTAGGTGTGTGGCTGGGTAGGTGTGTGGCTGGGTAGGTGTGTGGCTGGGTAGGTGTGTGGCTGGGTAGGTGTGTGGCTGGGTAGGTGTGTGGCTGGGTAGGTGTGTGGCTGGATAGGTGTGTGGCTGGGTAGGTGTGTGGTTGGGTAGGTGTGTGGCTGGGTAGGTGTGTGGCTGGACAACTGGGTGGGTGAGTGGCTAGATTTGTGGATGGGTATGTGGCTGGGTAAGTGGCTGGGTGGGTGTGTGGCTGGGCAGGTAGCTGGGTGGGTGGCTGGGTGAGTTGCTGAGCAGGTGTGTGGCTGGGTAGGTGTGTGGCTGGGTAGGTGTGTGGCTGGGTAGGTGTGTGGCTGGGCGGCTGGCTGGGTAGGTGTGTGGCTGGGTAGGTGTGTGGCTGGGCGGCTGGCTGGGTAGGTGTGTGGCTGGGTAGGTGTGTGGCTGTGTAGGTGTGTGGCTGGGTAGGTGTGCGGCTGGGTAGGTGTGTGGCTGGGTAAGTGGTTGGGTAGGTGTGTGGCTGGGTAGGTGTGTGGTTAGGTAGGTGTGTGGCTGGGTAGGTGTGTGGCTGGGTAGGTGTGTGGCTGGGTAGGTGTGTGGCTGGGTAGGTGTGTGGCTGGGCGGCTGGTTTGGTGACTGGCTGGGTGACTGGCTGGGTAGGTGTGTGGCTGGGTAGGTGTGTGGTTGGGTAGGTGTGTGGCTGGGTGACTGGCTGGGTAGGTGTGTGGCTGGGTAGGTGTGTGGCTGGGTAGGTGTGTGGCTGGGTAGGTGTGTGGCTGGGCGGCTGGCTGGGTAGGTGTTTGGCTGGGTAGGTGTGTGGCTGGGTAGGTGTGTGGCTGGGTAGGTGTGTGGCTGGATAGGTGTGTGGCTGGATAGGTGTGTGGCTGGGTAGGTGTGTGGTTGGGTAGGTGTGTGGCTGGGTAGGTGTGTGGTTGGGTAGGTGTGTGGCTGGGTAGGTGTGTGGCTGGGTAGGTGTGTGGCTGGGTAGGTGTGTGGCTGGGTAGGTGTGTGGTTGGGTAGGTGTGTGGCTGGGTAGGTGTGTGGTTGGGTAGGTGTGTGGCTGGGTAGGTGTGTGGCTGGGTAGGTGTGTGGCTGGGTAGGTGTGTGGCTGGGTAGGTGTGTGGCTGGGTAGGTGTGTGGCTGGGTAGGTGACTGGCTGGGTAGGTGTGTGGCTGGGTAGGTGTGTGGCTGGGTAGGTGTGTGGTTGGGTAGGTGTGTGGCTGGGTAGGTGTGTGGCTGGGTAGGTGTGTGGCTGGGTAGGTGTGTGGCTGGGTAGGTGTGTGGCTGGGTAGGTGTGTGGCTGGGTAGGTGTGTGGCTGGGTAGGTGTGTGGCTGGGTAGGTGTGTGGCTGGGTAGGTGTGTGTCTGGGTAGGTGTGTAGCTGGGTAGGTGTGTGGCTGGGTAGGTGTGTGGCTGGGTAGGTGTGTGGCTGGATAGGTGTGTGGCTGGGTAGGTGTGTGGTTGGGTAGGTGTGTGGCTGGGTAGGTGTGTGGCTGGACAACTGGGTGGGTGAGTGGCTGGATTTGTGGATGGGTATGTGGCTGGGTAAGTGGCTGGGTGGGTGTGTGGCTGGGCGGCTGGCTGGGTGACTGGCTGGGTGACTGGCTGGGTAGGTGTGTGGCTGGGTAGGTGTGAGGCTGGGCGAGTGGCTGGCTGCGCGTGCGGTGCTGAGTTCTCTGTGCCCACGTGCAGGGATCTCCACGTTTGGGAAGCGCGTGGTCGTGGCTGGGAGGAGCAAGAACGTGGGGATGCCCATCGCCATGCTGCTGCACACGGATGGCTCGCACGAGCGCGCCGGAGGTGCGTGCACGTGTACACACACATACACACGTGTACACACGTGTACACACGTGTACACACACATACACACGTGTACACACTTGTACACACACATACACACGTGTACACACGTGTATGCACACATACACGTGTGCACACGTACATACAAACACGTACATACAAACACAAAGATTCCCCTTATAGCCTTTAACAGGCTGTTCGGGAAAATACAGTTAGCGAGCACCTATGAAGGCGGGAGCGGCACACGAAGGGGTGAGCGAACAACACCACGCCCGGCCGGCTTTGTCTCGCCAGTGGTGATGTTTACACATCACACAAGGTACTCATTTGAGGCTGAGTCGACCTAGCGGAGGCCCAGAAGCGGTTCAAATCATCGTCACTGTTGTTGTTGGCCGTGAGCTGGAATCGAACTCTGATCGCCGGGTTCGTAGCGCAGCGCGCTAACCGCTGCAGTCCCACATGTGTGTACAACAACAAGAACAGCCGCCATTCGCCACTAATTTATGGTGACATCACCACAGCGCTCACTGTTCACCCATTGCCCCCTTCCTCACCCTCCCTCACCCTCTCCCCCACTGATTACACACCTTCTCACCGTCACCCACATCCTCTCCTCACCCTCTCCTCACCCCCCCTCCCTTGTCCCTCTCCTCCCCCTGCTGACCCAGGTGATGCGACAGTGACCATCACGCACCGCTACACGCCCAAGGAGCAGCTCAAAGACTTCACGCTCATGGCCGACATCGTCATCATGGCTGCTGGTGATACGCGCACACATGCACACGCACGCGCACCCACATGCACACGCACCCACGTACGCGCACCCACATGCACACGCACGCGCACCCACAGGCACGCGCGGACGCGCGGACGCACGCACGTGTGTTTTATTGCGTGTAAGGTGTATATACCCCGGCAATTTCCAGGAATATGTCTAACATGTGCCGTATGTGTATCGCGTGCGTGTGTTAGTACACTGTTTGTGCCACCTGTGTATCACATGTACCATGTGTGCCACGTGTGCGTGTACCACGTGTGTGTGTACCGTCTTATGAGTAACGTGTGTGTGCAATGTGTGTTAAGAGTAACATGTGTGTGAGTGGCAAATGTGTTGTGAGCAACGTGTGCATATGTGTGCCACGTGTCAGTGTTATGATTAACGTGTGTGTGTGTCGTGTGTGCACCATGCGTGTGTGTTATGAGTAAAGTGTGTGTGTGCGCATGCCACGTGCATGCGGGTTATGAGTGACGTGTGTGTGCCACACGCTCGTATATTATGAGGAATGTGTGTGTATGCCATGTGCGTGTGTTATGAGTAACGTGTGTGTGTTCCGCGCATCTGTGTTATGATTAACGTGTATGTGTGTGCCATGTGTGTGCACCATGCATGCGTGTTATGAGTGACGTGTGTGTGTGTGCGTCATGCGTGTGTGCGCCACACGCTCGTATATTATGAGGAACTTGTGTGTGCCATGTGCGTGTGTTATGAGTAACGTGTGTGTGTGTGTGTGCGTGTGTTATGAGTAACATGTGTGTGTGCCATGTGCGTGTGTTATGAGTAACGTGTGTGTGCGTGTGTGTGTGCCGCACACCCAGGTGTGCCGGGGCTGCTCACGGCGGACATGGTGCGCCCCGGTGCCTGCGTCATCGACGTCGGCATCAACCGCGTGGTGGACCCGCGCACGGGCCGGGCACGGCTCGTGGGTGACGTCGACTTTGAGGGTGAGCCTGCCGAGATGCAGGCAAAGCTCCCCCGTGTAGGCTGCACGGCCTGCCGGAGCAAGTCCTGTTAGCGAGTAGCAGTGCCTAAGAATGCCGGCACGGTGCTTACTGTCTCCTGCAGTGCGGATGGTCAATGCACACCGCGTCGCGAATTTCTTTAATGCCAAGTAGACCTAGATGAAAAGGTAACCAGGTAGCCCCCTCCCCCACCTTGCATGCTGGCATGGCACACGAGATGGGGGGGCGGTTGGCCAGCACCACGCCCGACCGCCTTTGTCAACCCAGTGGCGATGTTTACAGACTGCACCAGGTACTCATTTGAGGCCAAGTCGATCTAGGGGAGGCCTCTGGACCAAGTTCAGATAATCTTCACTGGTGTTGACCATGAGCAGGAATCGATTTCGGGTTGCCGGGTTTGTAGCGCAGTGCGCTAACCGCTGCACTACCGCTCCCTACACGCGCACGTGTACACATGCACACACAGAACAGAGGTCGCAAACGGGTTTTGATTCCTTACCCGTACCCGTACCCGGCCACATCAGGGTCGCAAACGGGTACCCGTACCCGTACCCTACCCGTACCCGGCTGGGTACAGATAGGGTATGGGTATCGGGTACCCGATTGCGACCTCTGGGATGAAGCCATGTTGCAGGCGCGGGTGGGTTGATTCTAGGAACTTTAATTGTGAGAAGAGACAAGACGTTGGGAAATGAGTGACAAACGGTTACTCACCAGTGACTCACGGCCTACCCGGCCGCACCAGGGTCGCAAACGGATACCCGTACCCAGCCAGGTACGGGTAGCCGGGTATCGGGTAGGGTACGGGTATCGAGTACCCGGTTGCGACCTCTGACACACAACCACAGGACTTGACCCTGCCTCTCCGTGCTCCCCCCGCCCGCAGGTGTGCGCCGTGTGGCAGGCCACATCACTCCCGTCCCGGGCGGCGTGGGGCCGATGACGGTGGCCATGCTGATGAGGAACACGCTGCTCGCAGCCCAGAAGGCTCTTGTTTATTGACATCGCCTCTCTTGCCACTCATCGTCATCATCATCATAACCGTCATTCTCCACCACCATCACCGCTACCACCACCGCTACCATCAATACTGCTGCTGCCATCACCGCTACCACCACCATCATCACCACCATCACCACTATCACCACCATCACGATCACACACTACCGCTTCTACCGGTACCAGCACTGCTGCTACTGCTGCCTTCAATACTATCAACACCGCCGCTACTGCTGCTGCTACCGCTACTGCTGCTACTGCTGCTGCTGCTACTGCCGCTACTGCTGCTGCTGCTGCTACTGCTACTGCTGCTGCTGCTGCCATCACCACCGGATTGCGGTGGCCGAGGCTGCCCGCCCTGGTTCCACCCCCGGTGTTCCCTGTTTCATCGTCGTGTCGACTCGTGGATCTTTGGGCCCCTTTGGAACTCTCTGGACCTCTGTGGTGCTGACCTCAGGGTGACACTACCCAGGGTCATTCTGGGAAAGCAGAGACTCGAGCCAAGGCGGCCGAGCTGGTCTGGAACATCGCTGCTGCTTCCATGGCGACCGCACCATCACTGTGGTGATCGTCATGGTGAACGTGTCGTCACCAAGGCGTCGCTGCTGTTGCTATCGTCAAATTATTGTCGTCGTGGTGACCGTGTCGTCACCATGGTGGATGCGTCTCTATGAAGGGGATTGCTGCCGTTGCCATGGGCTAATTGCCGCCACCGTGACAACCGTATCATTACCATGGTTATCTGGTCATCATGAAGGCGTCGCCGCTCTAATAATTATCATCTTGACGACCATGTCATCACCATGGTGACCATATCGTTACCATGGTGACCATATCGTTACCATGGTGACCAAGGCGTCTCTGCTGTTGCTGTGTTTTTATCATCGTCATTTTGGTTACATTGTTGTTTCTATGGTCCGGCTGTCTTTGAGGTCTCTCTAATGTATTCGTCGTCTTATTATCATCATCATCACTATGGTAATATTGTCATCGCCATGGTTATGTCATCGTTTTTGTGGTCGTATCAACGTCTGTGGTCCAATCATCATCATTGCTATGGTAACATCTCTACCCTGGTTACATAATTGTCTTTGTAGTCCTAGCATCGTTGCCATGGTTACATCATTGTCCCCGTGATGACATCATCGCCATTCCGACATCATCGTCACCTCGTTTACATCGTCTCTCTGGTCACATCATCGTCGTCACCATGGTTACATCGTCACCATGGTTACATCGTCACCATGGTTACATCGTCACCATGGTCACATTGTCAACATCGTCACATCATGTTGATGTCGTCATCTCTGTGTTGTGTTTTGAATACGGTGCCAAACAATTGTACTCTGCGTACTCTCAGAGTCCGTGTACTCACGTACTCCGTCGCGACACTCCACGTTACTGTGCCAGCGCACGTGTTTTATATATATGCAATGTATTTATTGAGACTGGCACGTGTGTGTGCACGCGGTGCATGTGTGTATCGCGTGTGTGTATCTTGTTTTACATGGGAGGATCTGTGTGTGTGTGTGTCCCCTCCGTGGGCTTTACCGGAGTCACACAACGTCGCATATCCGACCGTAGCTTGTCCTCCCTGACCGATTGAATGCCCCACGGGCCAATCGGCCCAGTGCAGTATCCGCACGCGGTGCAACAAAGAATGTTCCAAAGATGTTCAGTCATATGCTTTGGTTTTTCCGGTAAAGTCGCGTAGGTAAAAATAAAAAAAATAAAGTGAAAACTCAATTAAATCACGACGTTTCGGGCGCAACACAACGTAGCGGAAGCACAAACGCTGAAGTGTGTCTCAGAGATGGCTGTGACGAGGGATTATATAGTCGCGGGGCGTGGAGAGAGACACACTTCAGCGTTTGTGCTTTCGCTACGTCGTCCCCACCTGAAGAAGGATGTTTGTGTTGCATTTAATTGAGTTTTTTTAACCTACGTGACTTTACCGAAAAAAAACCAAGGGTATGAATCCTTGCAGTCACAAAAGCTTCGGATCTAGAATGTTCAGTCATACGACCGTCGCGTAACCGCCCTGACCAATTAACCGCCCTGACCAATTAACCTCCCTGCACCTCGGTGCAGTGTTATTGACTGTGCTGGCGTTACGGTCGTCTCCAATGGACGTTCACAAATCCGCCCGTACCGCAGTCGGATATGCGACGATGTATTGTGCCGCGTGCAACATAAGATGCAAGAACCACGATAATCGTGTCGTCCGCATTCTGCTAAACATCGTTGCTCATTGTTTTGTTTTATTTAATATGTATTAAATAACGAAGACAGTACATGAAAGTTCCAAATAAAAAGCCAGTTATACGTTCAACATGCGTCTTCCCCCGCGTCATCGTCAGAGGCAGGCTGGACTGTTGTTGTGAGTTTGATTCATCATTGATTGGTGGCTGAGGCCACGTGATGACCTGGCCATCATGTATGTTTTACGCGTTTCAGATCATCATGATTGTGAAATTCCTGGCAGGCTTGCGACACTCACCTCCTAATCACTCGTGTCGCTACTAGCGTGTTGAGGATTGAGTCTACCAGACACTGACTCTTTCGTCTCATCCACAACGCTGTTCAACCACCGCACTGCAGGTCACAACACACGCACACACTCACCCATCCACTCGCCCACTCACCACACTGTAGGTCACAACAAGACACACACCCACTAACCCACCCATTCGTCACACTGCAGGTCACAACAACACACACTCACCCACCCACTCACCCACCGACTCACCACATTGCAGGTCACAACAACACACGCTCTCACCCACTCACCCACCGACTCACCACACTGCAAGTCACAACAACTCACACACTCACTCGCCACACTGCAGGTCACAACGACACACGCACACACTCGCCACACTGCAGGTCACAACAACACACGCACACACCCACTCATCCACCCAGTCACCCACCCACTCGCCACATTGCAGGTCACAACAACACACGCACACACTCACCCATCCACTCACCTCGCTTTCTACGCCTCTCGTACTGCTCCACTTCAGAATTCTCTCCTCCCACCACCGTCTCTGTAAAACCAAGTTAATAACCTCGCTCAATTACAGAAACGTTGCTACACTCGTTATCTATTACCACTCCGATCGTGCTGTTTGTTGCTGGCCCTTGGCGTATCAGGCCTATGGGACCCGTGCTCGGCAACTGTGTTTAAATAAGAATATTCAGTGAACTGCAGCTGAAGATCTATACCTTATGATTTCCCGAAACGTTACCTATTACACGTTATGTTCCTTTTCAGGCCACGGTACTATTTGACTATGTGATGAGTCCCTTCAAGAGTTCTCGTTCAAAATCAGAATCTTTATTTCGACAGCAGCAGGAATCCGATGAGCTATGAAGCTCATTTTTCACAAATCTCCAGTAGGGGTGGGTCAAAATGTGAGAACAAACGATACAAGTATCGGAAATGTAAACAAATAAAATCTTACTATTTTGTTTAAGGGAAAATGTCAAAACTGGGTGGTTTTTAACTTTTGCCGACAAAACTGGATCCCAAATGTCAAAACTGGGTGCACCCTGGGTGGCCAAAAACTTGAGTTTTGGACACTCAGGGTGCACCCAGTTTTGACATTTGTCAAATACACTTGATAATTGTATACTAGCACAGTGTGCCAGCACCCCTTTCATCCAAACACTTGGTATTTGTATACTGGCACACTGTGCCAGTATACATATGGCAAGTAAGTGTTACTGTAGTAGCGAGCTGGCACACTGTGCCAGTATGCAAACGGGAAGTTGTGGTGCAAGGTATGGAACATGAGCCACGAGAAACATCATTTGGAACGCTCTAAATCTGTGGCGACATATGAATGAATAACGCAAGGACCTAAACGTGTACAAAATGATACATTAAATCGTACACCTTCTTCACCCAGTTTTGACATTTGTCCACATTGAACATCACCCAGTTTTGTCATATCAAAAAGCACCACCCTGTTTTGCCTGTCGTTTTCCAAGACCACCCAGTTTTGACATTTGGGATCCAGTTTTGTCGGCAAAAGTTAAAAACCACCCAGTTTTGACATTTTCCCTTTTGTTTAATCAGGTAAAGGCCACGGAGTATTTGAGCTTTTTCAGAAGTGACCTGGCCACAAATGATAGCTCAACGACATGGCGTATGTACACATTTATAGCAGTCAAATCATCTCAATTTTGTAATCCAAACGCACGTTTCTAAATCTAGGGGGGGAATCAGAGGACCCAGATGAAAATAAATCCACGGGACCACAGGGAGAACATGCAAACTCCAGTGTTGGGATCGAACCCACGACCTCCTGCATACCAGCCGATGAATATAACATCACACCACCATGGTGCCCCTTAAATAAAAAAAAATAGGTTCAATTTGCATTAGTACATCAATTTCCACGCTTGAAAAAGCCAGTAAAGCAACAGCAAAAAAAACAGTCCCAGACCACACCAAGACAACACACAGTCCCTCAATAAAATCGCACGTGAACACATCCCTCCTGCGGAGGGAGCTGGTAGTAACGTTGGGTTGCTCGGTCAATGGCCTGCAGGGTCAACGGCGGCGTGGTGTTTTCCGCAAATATGGCCGACTGTGAGGGCGGGCACAAGCCGGCGTGAGTAGGTTAAACGTTGAGCTTTATAAGGGCACCACGGGGTGACCAGCCCCTCCCCACCCAGCCCCACTCCTCCCACCCCCCACCCAGCCCCACCCAGCCCCACCCAGCCCCTCCCCACCCTCCCCTCTCCACCCAGCCGCACCCCTCCCATTTTTGAATTCACGACGGACGGACGGACACAATAATCCCCTGTGGGCTGGTGGAACCAGGTGGTTCCTACCACTATAAAAAAAATAGGTTAAATTTGCATTAGTATATCAATTTTCACGCTTGAAAAAGCCAGTAAAACAACAGCAAATAAACAGTCGCAGACCAAACCAAGACAACACACAGTCCCTCGATAAAATCGCACGTTCAAACTAAACTATCGAGTTGATTTTGTGTGACCTGCAGATGAGAGCTCGGAGATACCAGGATAGAGGAGTCTCTTTCGCAAAAGTGACTTTGGGTTACCAAAGTGACAAAAAACAATAAAACATTAAAAAGTACGCACATACGTTGATCTTCTTTCGCACCGTACGTAGCCAACCGTGCCAATCGGAGGTGCGGGAATTAAGTCAACAAAAAACAACTGTGTGATGAGAAATCAATAATTCTGCATGAACATAAATGAATGTTATATCATAAATTCACCCTTCGAAATGTAAGTACTGACACAGTGCACGGCCAGGCTCCAGGGCTGATTGGGGTGAAGATGAACCTGACCCTGTCACGATAATGTGGAATCTTCCCACCGTAAGCAAACAAAATAATTGTAATTTTTATTTCGATTTAAAGCTTTCGTGACTGCAAGGATTCATACTCTTGGTTCTTTCGGTAAAGGCACGTAGAAGGGAAACAATAAAATAATAAAAATATAAAACATCGTGAGAATTTTATTGCTTTATTTTTTTTATTTCCCTTCTACATGACTTTACCGAAAGAACCAAGAATATAAAAGAAGTGTAATATATATAAAAAAAAATTACTCGTAGGCTTTCACGACCAATTACACCTAGCACCATCAAGCTGTCCCCTGATGATGCTGGTTGTAGTTACTCGCGAAACGTCGTACTCGAATTGTAAATGTTGTGGGTTTATTCTCCAACACACCAGTGTGCTGATCGAGTTCAAGTTCAAGTTCATGTATTAGGTATAGCCCTGTGAGCCATTCGGCTCTTGAATTTGGTGCAACCGCAACAAACAAAAAACAAAAACATGAACAAGATAACATCTTAAAGTGAATATGTGACTAAGTGCAAACAGAAAATCCAAGAAAAGACAGCAAAATATTGCAGAAAAAGCACCGTACACCAACGCTGTGTGCAAAAATCCCAGTGGGAAGCAAGTCAAACAACAACAACAACAACCACAAGACAACTTAGATTAAGGCCATCAGTCTAACTCCGTACTACAACAAACATGGCCAAACCAAAAAACTTTTCGAAATCACCAAAATAAAGCCATGAAAGCAATGAAACAGTGATCATAGGAACTATGATGGAATTCATCTTCTTGGTTATTTCGGTAAAGTCACGTAGAAGGGAAGTAATAAAATAAAAAAAATAAAACATAATAAAATAATTCTCACGACGTTTCGGCCACAACGCAAGCAGCCGTCCTCAGGTGAAACCAATTTTCACAATAAACGACATAAACAACATGTACTACCAAAACCCTGCAGCAGAGTAACGAATTGGCATGTTTTGTTTACGTAACAAACCTTACTAATTGTCTGTGTCGGGTGGTGGCGGCTCTAACGACACATTAATATATGTACGTGATCTAACCCCTAAAAAAAACTCTAATATAGATATTTGCTTTACTTCTAGATTTGAAGCTTTCGTGACTGCAAGGATTCATATTCTTAGGTTTTTTTCGGTAAAATCACTTGATACAGCTATCGTGCTGTGACGGTTCCACCTGAAGACGGAAGCTTGTGTTGCCTCCGAAACGTCGTGATTTTTTATTATTTAATTTTTATTATTTTACTTTGATTAATTTAATTTTTTACCTACGTGACTTTACCGAAAAAAACCTAAGAATATTTGCTTTACTGTTGGGCGTCGAGTTTGGATAGACCGCGTGGCGCACGTGGTGGCGTCACGTGATCAGACTCGAGAACAATAGGGGGTGGGGGGGGGGGTCCAGGGGGGTGGGAGGTGGGGGTTGCAGCCTGGGCGGGGGGGTAGGGCGTGGCCGGAAGCTGGGGCCACGCCCACTGCGGAGGGAGAGAGACAGCTGAGGCCACACACACACAGAGACACACACAGAGCCAGACAGAGAGCCAGAGAGAATATTAACAATCGCATTGCACTCGTTGCTATTATAACAGTCGAGATTTAAACAAACCGTACCATCGTCAAAAAATAATCATCACAATAATACTCGTATTGCAGAAGGAGTGCGCATCGCTAACAATTAGATTGTTGTTGTTGTCGTTGTTGTGAAATTGGTTGATAATCTCCGGGCGACTGAGGAGGGGCGGTGGGTCGTGCTGGGAGCGGAGACTGCCCGAATACGAGCGAGAGTAAGCAACATCATCATCAGCAACATCGTCATCAGCAACATCATCATCAGCAACATCATCATCAGCAACATCATCATCAGCAACATCATCATCAGCAACATCATCATCAGCAACATCATCATCAGCAACGTCATCATCAACATCGTCATCAGCAACATCGTCATCAGCAACATAATCATCAGCAACATCGTCATCAGCAACATCGGCATCAGCAACATTATCATCAGCAACATTATCATCAGCAACATTATCATCAGCAACATTATCATCAGCAACATTATCATCAGCAACATCGTCATCAGCAACATCGTCATCAGCAACATCGTCATCAGCAACATCGTCATCAGCAACATCGTCATCAGCAACATCGTCATCAGCAACATCGTCATCAGCAACATCGTCATCAGCAACATCGTCATCAGCAACATCGTCATCAGCAACATCGTCATCAGCAACATCGTCATCAGCAACATCGTCATCAGCAACATCGTCATCAGCAACATCGTCATCAGCAACATCATCATCAGCAGCAGCAGCAACATCAGCAACATCATCATCATCAGCAACATCATCATCATCAGCAACATCATCCTCGGCAACATCATCATCGGCAACATCATCAGCAACATCATCAGCAACATCATCAGCAACATCATCAGCAACATCACCATCAGCAACATCATCCTCATCAGCATCTTCCTCAGCAACATCATCATCAGCAACATCATCCTCATCAACATCACCATCAGCATCATCCTCATCAACATCATCCTCATTATCATCAGCAACATCATTATCAGTAACATCAGCCTCAGCACCATCATCAGCAACATCATCATCAGCAACATCATCATCAGCAACATCATCCTCATCAACATCAGCAACATCATCATCAGTAACATCATCCTCAGCACCATCATCAGCAACATCATCATCAGCAACATCAGCAACATCATCATCAGCAACATCATCAGCAACATCAGCAACATCATCCTCATCAACATCCTCAGTCGCAACATCATCCTCCTCATCAACACCATAACGTCGCATTACAATAACAGCGTCATTAATAGCGGCGTATATCACCACCATTAACAGCAGCAGCAGCAACATCATCATACGCATAGCAGCATTTAAACAAAAGGATTATAAACATCAGCAGCATCGAACAACAATATCATCGGCCGCATCATTAGCAGCAGCATCATCAGCAGCATCACCATCATCATCGGTAATGGCAGCAGTAGCAGCAGCAATAACAAAGGATACTAGCATCAGCGGTATCATTACCTATAATAACATCAGCAGCAGCAGCAGCAATATAATTGCCAGCAGCTGTAGCAGCATCAGCAATATGATCAGAAACAGCATTACCTCTAACAGCGTCATCAGCAATAGCAGCGTCATCAGCTGAAGAATTAACAGCAGTAGCATCAATAAATGACAGCCGGAGATACATTATCATCATCAGCAGCTGTGGCGTCATTATAAATACTATCATCAGCCTTATCAGCAATGGCAACACGTAAATAATGTTATCAGCACCACCGATGTGTATGTTATTGCTGCTGCTGCTGATGATGATGTGCTAATGTTGATTGATCATGACGATGTGTATGTTGCTGCTGCTGATGATGGGGGTGTTGTTGCTGATGTTAATATTGCTGATTCATTAGCAGCACCTTTTGAGCACAATCACCAATATCATCATCGTGATGTAAAATCATCGTATATGCATTACCATGTATAATCAGCAGCAGCAGCATCGTCATCATCTAGAATTGCATCAGCAGCAGCATCAACTGAGTCAACACCAGCACGGTCATCCGCATCATCAATACATATTTACTGTATCATCAAATAATTGACCATTACAGCATCAGCATAATCGGCGCCATCGCTGTCGTCACATCGTTTTGTTTGCATTCGGGATAGGTTCGACCTCATCACCATGATCATCATCAACTCCACGATCATCATCACCGACACGAGCATCATCATCATCACCACGATCATCACCAACACGATCATCATCATCAACACCACGATCATCATCAACTCCACGATCACCATCACCACGATCACCATCACCACCACGATCACCATCATCAACACCACGATCACCATCACCACCACGATCACCATCATCACCACGATCATCATCATCATCACCACGATCACCATCATCATCACCACGATCACCATCATCATCACCACGATCACCATCATCATCACCACGATCACCATCATCATCACCACGATCACCATCACCACCACGATCACCATCACCACCACGATCACCATCACCACCACGATCACCATCACCACCACGATCACCATCATCACCACGATCATCATCATCACCACGATCACCATCACCACCACGATCACCATCATCACCACGATCATCATCATCACCACGATCACCATCACCACCACGATCACCATCATCAACACCACGATCACCATCATCAACACCACGATCACCACCACCACCACGATCACCATCATCACCACGATCATCATCATCATCACCACGATCACCATCATCATCACCACGATCACCATCATCATCACCACGATCACCATCACCACCACGATCACCATCACCACCACGATCATCATCATCACCACGATCATCATCATCACCACGATCACCATCACCACCACGATCACCATCATCACCACGATCATCATCATCACCACGATCACCATCACCACCACGATCACCATCATCACCACGATCACCATCATCACCACGATCACCATCACCACCACGATCACCATCACCACCACGATCACCATCACCACCACGATCATCATCATCACCACGACCACCATCACCACCACGATCACCATCACCACCACGATCACCATCATCACCACGATCACCATCATCACCACCACGATCACCATCATCAACACCACGATCACCATCATCACCACCACGATCACCATCACCACCACGATCACCATCACCACCACGATCATCATCACGATCATCATCACCAGGATCATCATCACCACCACGATCATCATCAACAACACAACAATCATTATCATCAATGCCACGATCATCATCAATGCCACGATCATCATCACCACTATCGTCATCAACACCACGACCATCATTATCATCATCACGATCATCATCAACGCCACCTTCCTCATCACCACGATCATCATCAACGACACGAGCATCACCATCACCACCACGAGCATCACCATCACCACGATCATCACCATCACCACGATCATCACCATCACCACGATCATCATCATCACCACGATCATCATCATCACCACGATCATCACCACCACCACGATCACCATCATCATCACCACGATCATCAACACCACGATCATCATCATCACGATCATCACCATCACGATCATCATCATCACCACGATCATCACCACCACCACGAGCATCACCACCACCACGATCACCATCATCATCATCACCACGATCATCACCACCCCCACGAACATCATCATCACCACGATCATCATCATCACGATCATCACCATCACGATCATCATCACCACCACGATCATCATCACGATCATCATCACCACCACGAGCATCATCATCACCACGATCATCATCATCACGATCATCACCATCACGATCATCATTATCACCACGATCATCATCACGATCATCATCATCACCACGATCATCATCATCACGATCATCACCATCACGATCATCATCATCACCACGATCATCATCACCACGATCATCATCACGATCATCATCATCACCACGATCATCATCACGATCATCATCATCACCACGATCATCATCACCACGATCATCATCACGATCATCATCATCACCACGATCATCATCACCACGATCATCATCATCACCACGAGCATCATCATCACCACGATCATCATCATCACCACGATCATCATCAACACCACGATCATCATCATCATCATCACCACCACGATCATCATCACCACCACGATCATCATCATCATCATCACCACGATTATCACCACCACCACGATCACCATCAACACCACGATCATCACCACCACCACCACCACCACGATTATCACCACCACCACGATCACCATCAACACCACGATCATCATCATCACCACGATCATCATCATCACCACGATCACCATCACCACGATCATCACCACCACGAGCATCATCAACACCACCACGATTATCATCATCACCACGATCATCATCAACACCACCACCACCACGATCACCATCAACACCACGATCATCATCATCATCACCACGATCACCATCAACACCACGATCATCATCATCACCACGATCACCATCACCACGATCATCACCACCATGAGCATCATCAACACCACCACCACCACGATTATCATCATCACCACGATCATCATCAAGGCCAGACTGGGATCCGCAGCCGAATTCCCTCCCTCACCTCCATCACTCCACTCCCTCCCATCCCCTTCTAACCCCATCACTCCCTTCCATCCCCTCACTCCCATCACCTCCTTCACTCTCTTCCTCAATCACCCCCCTCCCTCCATCACCTCTTCACTCCTCCCCTGCCTCCTTCTCTCCATACCTCCATCACCTCTTCACTCGCAGCCATCACTTCATTCACTCCCTCCATCACCTTTATTCCATCACTTCAGCTTCACTCCGTCTCATCATCTCGTTCACTCCCTCCATCACCATCACGTTCACTCCCTCCCTCACCATCACTGCGTGGTGATGGGGAGCTGTAGTGTAGTGGCCAGCGCACTGCCTTACGAACCCGGCGACCCGAGTTCGATTCCTGCTCACCACTGACACCAGTGACGATTATGTGAACCGGTTTCTGGGCCTCCCCTAGGTCGACTCAGCTTCAAATGAGTTTCTGGTGCGGTGTGTAAACATCGCCACTGGGGATGTAAACGCGGCCGGGCGTGGTGCTGGCCTCCCACCCCCTCGTGTGCCGTGCGGGCTAACAGCACTTGCCCCAACAGTCTGTGAAGGCTATACGGGGGATCTTCGTCTTTGGTGCTTATGATGATGTTGATGGTGGTGGTGATGGTGGTGATGACGATGATGTTGCTGGTGATGAATGTAATGGTGTTGATGGTGTTACTGATGTTGATAGTGTTGATGGTGTTACTGATGTTGATAGTGTTGATGGTGTTGATGGTGTTCACGGTGTTGATGGTGGTGGCGATGAGGTAGCAGGCGTGATGGCGCATCACGTCCACCCCAAGCCCTGAGCTGGTGTTGATGGTGAAGATGGTGTTGATGGTGGTGATGGTGAAGATGGTGTTGATGGTGTTGATGGTGAAGATGGTGGTGATGGTGAAGATGGTGTTGATGGTGTTGATGGTGAAGCTGGTGGTGATGGTGAAGATGGTATTGATGGTGTTGATGGTGAAGCTGGTGGTGATGGTGAAGCTGGTGGTGATGGTGAAGGTGAAGCTGGTATTGATGGTATTGATGCTGCTGATGGTGAAGATGATGTTGATGGTGAAGCTGGTGGTGATGGTAAAGATGGTGTTGATGGTGTTGATGGTGGTGATGGTGGTGATGGTGGTGATGGTGAAGCTGGTGGTGATGGTGAAGCTGGTGGTGATGGTGATGGTGAAGCTGGTGTTGATGGTGAAGATGGTGTTGATGGTGTTGATGGTGAAGATGGTGAAGATGGTGAAGCTGGTGGTGATGGTGATGGTGAAGCTGGTATTGATGGTATTGATGCTGTTGATGGTGAAGATGGTGTTGATGGTGTTGATGGTGAAGCTGGTGGTGATGGTGAAGATGGTGTTGATGGTGAAGATGGTGTTGATGGTGTTGATGGTGAAGATGGTGTTGATGGTGAAGATGGTGGTGATGGTGAAGCTGGTGGTGATGGTGAAGATGATGTTGATGGTGAAGATGGTGTTGATGGTGAAGATGGTGTCGATGGTGTTGATGGTGAAGCTGGTGGTGATGGTGAAGTTGTTGGTGATGGTGAAGCTGGTATTGATGGTGTTGATGGTGAAATTGGTGGTGATGGTGAAGCTGATGGTGAAGATGGTGTTGATGGTGAAGCTGGTGGTGATGGTGAAGCTGGTATTGATGGTGTTGATGGTGTTGATGGTGAAATTGGTGGTGATGGTGAAGCTGATGGTGAAGCTGGTGGTGATGGTGAAGTTGTTGGTGATGGTGAAGCTGGTATTGATGGTGTTGATGGTGAAATTGGTGGTGATGGTGAAGCTGATGGTGAAGATGGTGTTGATGGTGAAGCTGGTGGTGATGGTAAAGCTGGTGGTGATAGTGATGGTAAAGCTGGTATTGATGGTGTTGATGGTGAAGCTAGTGGTGATGTTGGAGCTGATGTTGATGATGAGGCTGGTGTTGATGTTGATGATGTTGTTGACGATGACGGTGATGGTGAAGCTGGTGTTGAAGATGACGATGGTGATGATGTTGACGATGATTTTGATGATGACAATGATGAAGACGATGGCGAAGATGTTGATGATGTCGATGGCGTTGAAGATGTAGCTGAGCGTGATGGCGATGCTCATGTTGATGTTGATGATGGCGATGATGTTGACAGCGGTGATGGGTGAGGCACGCGTGATGGCGATGCTCATGTTGATGTTGATGACGATGTTGACGGCGGTGATGGTGCAGCAGGCGTGATGGTGATGCTCATGTTGATGTTGATGATGATGGCGACGATGTTGACGGCCGTGATGGTGCGGCAGGCGTGATGGCGATGCTCATGTTGATGTTGATGACGATGTTGACGGCGGTGATGGTGCGGCAGGCGTGATGGCGATGTTGATGTTGATGACGATGTTGACGGCGGTGATGGTGCGGCAGGCGTGATGGCGATGCTCATGTTGATGTTGATGTTGACGGCGGTGATGGTGCGGCAGGCGTGATGGCGATGCTCATGTTGATGATGATGATGTTGATGGCGGTGATGGTGCGGCAGGCGTGATGGCGAGCTCATGTTGATGATGATGATGTTGATGGCGGTGATGGTGCGGCAGGCGTGATGGCGATGCTCATGTTGATGATGATGATGTTGATGGCGGTGATGGTGCGGCAGGCGTGATGGCGATGCTCATGTTGATGATGATGATGTTGATGGCGGTGATGGTGCGGCAGGCGTGATGGCGAGCGGCGCGTCTCCCCCGCCCCCCGGCTCCGAGCTGCCCACGCCGCTGCAGGACAAGATGGCCGCGTCGGCGCGCGAGACCATCTACCTGTGCAACTTCCGCGTGTCGGTGGATGGCGAGTGGCTCTGCCTGCGCGAGCTCAACGACATCTCGCTGGCGCCCGACGGCGCCAGGACCCCCTCCGCCGCGGGGGCCGGGGGCACCGGCGCTGGGGGGGCCATCACCGGGGCGACGGGGGGGACTGCCGGCGGCCCAGGTGGGTGAGGGGAGTGGAGCGACCTCGGCCGCTGCCCCCCTCCCTCCCCGTCGCTCCGGGGAGGCCGGCACCTGCCCAGCTGCCCGCCAACGCCCCCCCCCCTGCCCCCCACTATAGCCCCCCCCCCCCCCATCTCCTCTCCAAACTAAATCCACAACAATTTTTTGTTAATGTATATCCTTCCTTTCATCTATCTTATTCAGCTCGGCTACATTCACATGTACCACTCGTAATTCTCTGTCAAGCGCGTTGGTCAAGGCGCTATATAAATTGCGTTGAACTTCTTTCGCGCCGTACATAGCCGACCATGATGCTAACCCCAGGTGCGGGGGAAGGACAACAAACCAAACACAGAAACGCAGTTCTAAAGAAATTCGTTTGTCCATGTAGATGATGATTTAAAAGTGCACAGCCCCAGTGGCTTCCGAACATCGGAAGGAAGAGCTTTCCAGAATGCCGCAGAAGCCAAAAGCCGTTGTTGTGAGGATGACCGGAGCTTGTGTGATGGTTTATGCTCAGAGGTCGCAATCGGGTACCCGATACCCGTACCCTACCCGATACCCGTTTGCGACCCTGGTGCGGCCAGGTACGGGTACGGGTAGGCCGTGAGTCACTGGTGAGTAACCGTGATTGTCACTCATTTCCCAACGTCTTGTCTCTTCTCACAATTCAAGTTCCTAGAATCAACCCACCCGCGCCTGCAACATGGCTTCATCCCAGAGGTCGCAATCGGGTAGCCGATACCCATACCCTACCCGATACCCGGGCCGGGTACGGGTAGCCGGGTATCGGGTAGGGTACGTGACCACCACAGGGAAGGAGACACCCCAAACTCTATAAATACAGCAGCAGGCGTCAGGGTCGGTGATCGAACCCACGACCTCCTGCATACCAGGCGAGGGAGTTAACATCTCGCTCCTGCAGTGCCCCTCTCTCTCCTCCTCCTGTCCTCGCTGCTCTCCCCTGCTCTGCCACGCGTGTGTGTGGGGAGCGGTGGCGCAGTGGTTAGCACTGCGTTACGAACGAGAGACCCGAGTTCGATTCCTGCTCACGACCACCACTACCACCAGTGGCAGCGATTATTTTAACCGGTCCTGGGCCTCCCCTAGGTCGACTGGCAATTCTACCAGCATTGGCTTACTGAACGAGACCCATAAACCCCTCGCACAGAGACCCGTAGACTCATACAGAGACCTATAGACTCCCGCAGAGACCCACAGACTCACACAGAGACCCACAGACTCACACAGAGACCCACAGACTCACACAGAGACCCACAGACTCACACAGAGACACACAGGCTCACACAGAGACCCATAGACTCACACAGAGACCCATAGACTCGCACAGAGGCCTACAGGCTCACACAGACCCACAGGCTCACACAGAGACCCACAGGCTCACACAGAGACCCATAGACTCACACAGAGACCCATAGACTCGCACAGAGGCCTACAGGCTCACACAGAGACCCACAGACTCACACAGAGACCCACAGACTCACACAGAGACCCACAGACTCACACAGAGACCCACAGACTCGCACATAGACCCATAGACTGACACAGATACCCATAGACTGACACAGTGACCTACAGACTCGCACATAGACCCACAGACTCACACTGACCTACAGACTCGCACAGTGACCTACAGACTCGCACAGAGACCCACAGGCCCATACAGAGACCCACAGTTTCACACAGAGACCTACAGACTCACACAGTGACCCACAGACTCGCACAGAGACCCACAGGCTCGCATAGAGACCCACTGACTCGCACAGAGACCCACAGACTCGCACAGAGACCCACAGACTCGCACAGAGACCCACAGACTCGCACAGAGACCCACTGATTCACACAGAGACCCACAGACTCACACAGAGACCCACAGGCTCGCACAGAGACCCACAGACTCGCACAGAGACCCACAGACTCACACAGTGACCCACAGACTCACACTGACCCACAGGCTCACACAGTGACCCACAGGCTCGCACAGAGACCCACAGACTCACACAGTGACCCACAGGCTCACACAGTGACCCACTGACTCGCACAGAGACCCACAGACGCGCACAGAGACCCACAGACTCGCACAGAGACCCACAGACTCGCACAGAGACCCACAGACTCACACAGAGACCCACAGACTCGCACAGAGACCACAGACTCGCACAGAGACCTACAGACTCGCACAGAGACCCATAGACTCCAGTGGCAGCTCGTAACATTGCCACTAGGTGGGGCTGTTGTGAGTGTTGTCATTAAGACAAACCTCGTCATGCTATTGGCCTTCCCGTGAAAGTGATATCACTGTCTTATCTACCAACATTAGGCATTCATAAACAATACAAAACAGAACAACAAAGCACTCAAATGCTAAATCCCTCTTGATATGCAAATTCCTTTGTCAAGGCGCCCCTCCCCCCTCCAACCCAGCTTAAATATACGCTGCCAAGCCTGGTGGTAGCTCATTCAGACGCTGTCTTTCCGACAGACCTGTTCTTCACCTGAGGACGGCTGCTTGCGTTGTGGCCAAAACGTCGTGAGAATTGTATTTTATTATGTTTTATTTTTATTATTTTATTATTTCCCTTCTACATGACTTTACCGAAAGAACCAAGAAGACACTCAAATGCTGTCCCCATGACCCTCAAGTCCACACTACACAAACCCTTTGACACTGCAAAAATCCCAGAGTGTGTAGGCCGTGACCTGCTATTTTTACACCGTGCCACCTCGCGTTGGGACACCGTCTCATTACAGCCGTGGGTGCCTTTCTCACCGCCCTGAATGGTTCTCAAACGTCGTGGCTAAAATGCTAGAAGCTGATCACAACGAATGAAGGAAAATCTCTCACTTGGACGTCCTTCACAGCCGTCCCTAGACCTTCTAGAGGCACAAATCAGACTGTGTTGCGGCGGTTTTTAATATGAACAACTTAAAATATTATCTTCATTAGGCAATTCACGTTGAAGTAATCTTTTTTTTAACAGGACAAATATTTAATAGAAAAGTTATTTTTATGAGAATTTTTTTTTTCATCTCCAGCTGCTTGGTGTGGCAGCCCCCAACACCCCTAGTGGACGAAGCATGCCTGATGGACTCACACAGACGCACAGACTCACACAGAGACCCACAGACTCACACAGAGACCCAAAGACTCGCACAGAGACGCACAGACTCGCACAGAGACCCACAGACTCGCACAGAGACGCACAGATTCGCACAGAGACCCACAGACTCGCACAGAGACCCACAGACTCGCACAGAGACCCACAGACTCGCACAGAGACCCACAGACTCGCACAGAGACCCACAGACTCGCACAGAGACCCACAGACTCGCACAGAGACCCACAGACTCACACAGAGACCCACAGACTCACACAGAGACCCACAGACTCACACAGAGACCCACAGACTCACACAGAGACCCACAGACTCACACAGAGACCCACAGACTCACACAGAGACCCAGAGAGTCCCACAGACTCACACAGAGACCCACAGACTGAACTAGAGGGACAGCACAGTGGCGGCTGGGTACGCGTGGAGCTGGCCTTACTCCCCCCATCGCAGCTGCTGTGCCGGCCCTCATAGGTGCTGCTCGGTAACAGCACTTTCCCTAACGGTCTGTGTGGACTACACGGGGGACCTTTGTCTGTGTGTGTGTCTGTGTATGTGTGTGTCTGTGTGTGTCTGTGTGTGTGTCTGTGTGTGTCTGTGTGTGTGTCTGTGTGTGTGTCTGTGTGTGTGTCTGTGTGTGTGTCTGTGTGTGTGTCTGTGTGTGTGTCTGTGTGTGTCTGTGTGTGTGTCTGTGTGTGTCTGTGTGTGTGTCTGTGTGTGTGTCTGTGTGTGTGTATGTGTGTGTCTGTGTGTGTCTGTGTGTGTGTCTGTGTGTGTGTCTGTGTGTGTGTGCCCTCAGACCCAGAGGAGCCGAATGCTTCGGGATCGCGATACCGCTACTGTGACGGTGAGGCCCCTCCTCCGCTCACCCTCACTCACCCTCGCTCACCCCCCACTCACCCTAGCTCACCCCCCCCCCACCACTCAGCTCACCCCCCCCCCCCCACTCACCTTCACTCACACTCGCCCACCCTTGCTCACTCTTACTGACACTCGCTCACCCTAGCTCACCCCCCCCCACTCACCCTAGTTCACACTCGCTCACTGCCCCCCTCCCCACTCTAGCTCACCCACCCCCCACTCACCCTCACTCACCCTCGCTCACCCTTGCTCACCCCGCGCACCTTCACGCTCGCTCACCCGCAGGTGCGGCTATCGCTACGCAGGGCGACTACTCAGGGTGACTTTCGTTATGCAGCGCGACTGTCGTTACTTAGGGGCGACTAGCGCGCCCGTGTGCGTGTGAACGGGCGAGCGGGCGAGCGAGCGGGCGACCGGGTGAGCGAGCGCCGGGGTTGACGCGGGTGGTGGTGATGGCTCCCCGCTGCTGCTGCTCGTCCCAGAGCCGCGCGACGCCGTGAGCCAGGAGCGCGTGAGCCTCATGGACATGGCTAAGCTGAGCATCAAGGGGCTCATCGAGTCGGCGCTCAACCTGGGCCGCAGCCTCGACTCGGACTACGCGCCCCTGCAGCAGTTCTTCGTCATCATGGAGCACTGCCTCAAGCACGGCCTCAAGGGTGAGGGGCGGGGTGGAGGGGGTGAGAGGCGGGGGGGGGAGAGGTGGAGGGGGGAGAGGGTGAGGGGCGGGGGGGGGGGAGGTGAGGGGCGGGGGGGGGGAGGTGAGGGGCGGGGGGGGGTGGGGTGGAGGGGGGAGAGGGTGAGGGGCGGGGGGGGAGAGGTGAGGGGGGGGGGGAGGGGGGGGGGCGGGGGGAGGTGGAGGGGGAGAGGGTGAGGGGCGGGGGGGGGGAGGGGGAGGGTGA